CACCCACCTGTCAGTGAGCCATGTTCTTAGCCTGGTCATGTTTTTCTCTCAGATGAAACTTAGTAGGAAAGACATTCAAGTGCTTGTTTCCCACTCGCTGTGCAGTCACACTGGCCAACACTGTGTGTTGTCATTCCATATGAATCAGACTTCCTTCTTATCCACCTAACATTTTGTGGCACACCCACCAAGTGCCAGGCCCATGCCTGGCATGGGGAATGCGGAGATGACTCAACGTCTCCATGAACAAGGAACACTAAGTCCCTGGGTCCTTGTATTTTAGCCTACTTAGTCATGTTAGTGTCATTTGGGAAAGTGGCTTTTGAAATAGTAGCTTTCAAAAGGCCTTTGCTTTGTCTTTATTTGAGGGTGGGGGCTTGAAGAAAAAGGTACCAAGCCTTTCCTACTTTCAGCAGGGATGGCCTTTCCAGGATGGCCCTGTCTTCTTCCTCTCTCTAAGGCCAGGCTAGTGTATTAAATTTCATCTTGTCTTTGAAAAGCTGCAACAAGATTAGCTATCTAATCGTGTTACTAGTGCTAATCCCAGAAGGATTAAATATCTAGAACTTCATTAAAATCTCCCTCCTATTAAAAAACAGATTACTGTAGCTCTTGGTAACCTAACAAGCCAGGGAGGGGCTCCCAGGCACTGAGGGTATTGGTAACTGGCATCAGGTGGAGGTCCCAGGAGGACCCAGTTTTCCAGAAGGCTAATCCTGGAGCTGGAGCTTGGCAGGCACACCATGTCTTTGCCCTTCCCTTGCCTGGGGCAAGTGGCAGCTCTTCATGGATCACCCAACAGCTTGTCCAGCATCAGGCAAGGCTGGCCTTTTATCCAGATCAGATGTGTTTAGATTTAATTAAAAGGAAACTCCCCAAGAGCCTACACAATAAGCTTTAATTGTTCCTCAGTGGTATAGCAAATCCAAGTTTTGTAACTGCCCCAGTGACATCTGAACATCTGCCCTAGGTCTCAAATAATTAATATCAAATCAGAATAAAGATAGATGAGTCTAAAAGGAATCAGGGGAAAATAAGACTTTCAATAATTAAACAGTACAATAAAACTAACAATACATAAGTACGATTACTTATGTAGAATTGTGATACAAGGCAAATGCTTAGCCTACCCGTACTTTCTAAATCCAAAACTCTGGAATTGGGGCCCCCATGACTGTTTCAAGGAGCTCTCTGTTTAAACTTATTTCTAGAACTGATTAATATATCATTCTTATGATGACATTTCACCTCTGTGTAGCTTTTCTGACTCACTTTTTACAAGAAAGATCACTAGCAAGTAATTGTATATATTTAAGGATTTAAAGCTTGTTTTTGTCAGGTGTTTGATGAGTCTGGAGGGTGTATCTCGTTGTGTTGAGTGAGGACTGGCCCCTGTAGAAGCCTTGCATTGAGGAAATGTTTAGAAAGTTGCTACCAGTCTGATGTCTCCACTTCAGATACTTCCAAAGTCTGTGCAGTGCCCCCATCTTTGAAGGCTGCTTATTGCAAGTGGAAGGGAAAGAAGTTGGAAAAGAGATGGTCCAGGCATAGAAGAAGGGGTGCCTCAAAAAATACTTTCTCATTTTGGTCTGAGCTGGTGAGGTCCTTGATCTTTAGAGCAGTAAAGTACCAGGCACATTGGATCCTCTAAAAGAATACCCATGCCCAGGTCCTACCCAGACATTCTGATTTAATTATCCTGAGGGAGGGTCATGCATTAGCATATATTTTTATCTTATTTTTATTTTGCACCAGAAATTGAACCCAGGGAGGGATGCTTAAGCACTGAGCTACATCCCGAGCCCATTTATACGTGTGTGTGTGTGTGTGTGTGTGTGTGTATGTGTGTATACTTTTTTATTTAGAGACAGTCTTGCTAAGTTGCTAAAGCTGACTTTGAACTTGCAATCCTCCTGCCTCTGTCTCCTGAGCCACTGGAATTTTAGGCATGTACCATTAGGCCTGGTTCATTAGCTTTTATTGGGCCAGGTGATTCAAATATGCAATCAGATTAAAGAACACTGCTTTAAAGAAAAATCCAGAAATTTAGCATGGCCTTTCCGAGTGTTAAGCTGCAGATCCTTGTTTGAATGATTTTTTAAATTGTGATAAAATATGTATAACATAAAATTTACCATCTTAATTCTACAATTCAGTAGTGTTGTCACTTTGTTGTACAACTAATTTCCAGAATTTTCACTTTGCAAAATTGAGATTCATTAAACAACTCCTAATTTCTCCTTTTTCCAGCACTTGGCAACCATCATTCTATTTTCTATGAATTTAACTACTCTAGGTACCATATAAGTATTTGTGTTTTTGTAACTGGCCTCTTTCATTTAACGTAATGTCTTAAAGGTGCATCCATGTGGTAGCATGGTCAGGATTTCCTTCTTTTTTAAGGCTGAATATCTTTCATTATAGGCAAAATACTATGTTTTGATGATTTGTCCATTCATCTGTTGATATTCTTGGCTGTTGTGAGTAATGCTGCTATGAACGTAGATGTACTTAAATGATATTTTCAAAATAAAAAATTGCAATCAGTCATAATCATATAACAATGCTCATTATATTCTAGACCCAACTATAAGCCATTTATGTGTATCACCTTATTCAGGCCTCCAAACAACTCTATGAAGTATTTATTATTACCTTCAATTTACAGAAGAGGAAACAAACCTAGAATTAATTGTAATTTGCCCAAGGTAACAATATTTGGCAAAGTTTCTCAGGATAAAAAGTATCTGTAGTATAGGTTAAAAAATACCCATTTCTGTGGGCCCTGAGCCTCTCTCTAGCAGGAAGCCAGAAACAGTAGATTTTCCTCATACCCAGGGCCACCTGTCACCAGAGGGAAATCTAGTAGCATTTGGGGCCACTAGGAGGTAAGCCCAGGCAGTCTGACCACAGACCCTTTCACTTAGCCTTGAGGCCACTCTGCTTCTTTATGAACCTGTATTTAGGGCCCCTAATGTCCTGAAGGAAGTGAACAAATGTTCTAATGAGATTTCTTAGTTTTTATTTGTTGTGTGACTGAGCATCTGTGATATCAGTGGAGTGCATTACATTACAGCACCTCATTTTAAATCTAACACCTCCTAGAGGGACATGTTTCTTCCATTGCTACCTTTTTAAAAAGGAAATCTTAGAAAAATTTGGATAAATTTGACCCAAGTGGGCATGAAGCCTGGCCTTTCAAATTCCAGAGTGAAGAAGCCAGTTCCCTTTGGACCAGCTTCTTGACCCTTCAGAGGGTCCATTCTGTTCATTGGCATCTTTATTGAAGACTACAGACTGTCCCAGCCTGATGGGTGCAGGAGGGAGAAAAATAGGAAACCTGATCCTCTAGCATCTCACTGGAGTGAGGGAGACCTGCTTCCTTCCCAGGTGGAGCATAGGTCTCAACTGTACTGATACATAATGGTTTCCAAGACATTGTAGAGGGATAAAGGAAAGTACTAAAGAATGTGTATGCTACCACTGGTATTAAAAGAGAGATGGAGGGAGGGAGGGAGAGAGAGAGAGAGAGAGAAAGAGAAAATAGGAAACTTACCTTTTAAGCATCATTTATGTCATTGGAATTCTGTACCATATGCATGAATTGACTACTGAAAAAATTTTTGTTCAGATTCCTGGGCCTGGTCCCCATTTCATAAAATCAGCATCTCTGGGGGTGAGGCCCAGGATTGCCCATTTCTGACACTCTGTCCAGGTGATTCTGGGCATACTGCAATTTAAGAACTCCTGCATGTGTTGGTTTGACTCAGTCTGCAGCCCACCATAAAAGGAAGACAGATACCTGGGAGCTTGCCCCAGGCATGGCTTGCTGATTAGAGAAGAAACTGTCCAAATCCATTAGGGATGTCAACCAGTGCCCAGGTCAGCAACTCTACTTTCTACTGTAAATTCATTCTCTTCTCATACCAGTCTGGGTTATTTGGTTTGATACTGGGAATTGAATCCAGGGGCACTTAACCACTGAACTACAACCAGCCCTTTTTATTATTTTTTAATTTTGAGACAGAGTCTCAATAAATTGCTGAGGCTAGCCTTGAACTTGTGATCCTCCTAACTCTGGCCTCCCGAGTCCCTGGGATAATGGGTGTGTGCCACTGCATTCATCACCAATTTGTTTTGTATATGCTTCCTGCCAATATTCCTAACTTTCCCCGGTAGGTGTTACTTAAGTTGGCTTCCTGAGTCTGAGGTTGGGTCTTAGAAGGATGTGGTGAATCGCTTTACTTATATATGGCCATTTGTCTCCTCTTCATAGCAAAGCTGTAGAAACACAGCATGGCTCCTAGCTTCCCAAGGGGATACCAGCTGAGGTCATTCCTCCTGAGCAAACTAGGCAAACACCTCTCCATCCAGAAGGCTCCTCTGAGTATTTCTGAATGGGGCTGCCTCCCTTGGCACCCTGTCCCAACGTCACAAAGAACATCTTATCCTAATCCTACAGAGCATCCTGGCCATCCCTCTGGACTAAATTTGCCTTTCCTTCCCTCCCCTACACTGACAAGAAGATCCTGTAAATAACAGCCACTTGGTACTTTTCTTAACACATGAATCATTGTCCACCTGAGTGTAGCATCCCAATGTAGCTCATGAAACTATTCTCGAAGGGATTTGCTCTTGGTTTATTTACATTTGTATGTGAACATATGTATTCATGCACACCTGAATCTATTCCAATATCCATGAGCATCTAAACTAGTTTCTCATGACCCATCCTTAAAGGAGCATCTATTTTATACATGGAACCTCTGCTTACGGGTACTTCTGATGCTTGTTTAATACTGGGGGAGGGAGGAGAGACTTCTAAGTAGCCAAAGAATAGTTTCTGTCTGCCTATCTCCCCCTACCCTCCCTCAAAACACACATAAATTTCTTGTCTTTTAGTATATTTGCACCAATTTAGTAACCTTCCAGCTTGCATTTTCTCCAACATTTGTTGCACCTAAAATAATTGAGTGACCTCACCTGTTTTTTGCCCACAGGCTGCACATGGGAATTTGGAGCCATGGTGAACTACATTAAGAAGACCTATCCCATGACCCAGTTGGTTGTTGTGGGCTTCAGCCTGGGTGGTAACATCGTGTGCAAGTACTTGGGGGAGACCCAGGCAAACCAAGAAAAGGTTCTGTGCTGCGTCAGCGTGTGTCAGGGGTACAGCGCACTGAGGTGAGTCATCTCCACTGTGTGCACATACTTCTTTTTTCCTTCAGGTTTTCTGTTAGCATTTGTTTATTGAGATGTCCCAATGCACCAGACATGGTTTGAGAACACCATGGCCGACTGAGCAGAAGTTTCTGAGTCTTGGTCTCATCTTGTTTTGATTTCACATCATACATTGGAGTTGTTATAGCAGACTCTATAAGCCTGATATATGTAGCTGCATGTTAGGATCAGATCTATAATTGGGTGAGCCAAGGCCCTGTTAATAGCTGCTTCTTCCCTAGGGAGTGTCTGTTAGGTGATACTGTGTTTATGCTTCAGGAATATGGCAGAACCATGGGTTTAGGAGAAGACACAGGAAGTTGTGAGTTAGGACCTAAGAGCGGGGCCTTGTGATTGCACATGTCTCCTACCTCTGTAAGAGCCAAGTCTCAAATGGCATCTGGAAGGGCTCTGTGGAAGCCATTTTACAAGCATCCTCACCTGCAAGTATTCATATCTCTTAGGCATCCCAGATCTCTTCACAAAGGTATTGACCCACTGGGTGGTCTCCTGCCCACAGACATCTACAGGATGACTCCCCTCAAGATTGGTGCTGTCACTGAGCATGTAGCACATGCCTATAATCACAGCAGTTTGGAAGGCTGAAGCAGGAAGGCAGCAAGTTCAAGGCCAGCCTCAGCAACTTAGCAAGGTCCTAAGCAACTTAGCGAGACCCTGTCCAAACAAAAAGATCTAGGGATATAGCTCAGAGGTAAAGTACCAAATCTGAACACACACACACACACACACACTTCTCTCCAGGCTCTTCAGATGCATTTGTATTTTTTCCTAGCCAGGCACAGTGGTGCACACCTATAATCCCAGCAACTTAAAAGTCAGAGACAGAAGGATTGCAAGTTTAAGGCCAGTCTCAACAATTTAGCAAGACTCTGTCTCACAAATTTAAAAGGGCTTGAGATGTGGCTCATTGGTAGAGCACCCTGGATTCAATCCCCAGTATCACCTCCCCTAAAAAAAAAAAAAAAAAAAAAAAAAAACCTCTTTTTTCCTTAGTCACTCTTCATTATAATGTCTTTTATATGACCAATTATTGAAAATCTCTTGAATAAATCCAAAATTGCACAAGGAAGTAAAAAAACAAAAACTTCTTTATTGATCCTGTCTAATGCCAGATAGTCTTTATACTTCGTAAAAGTCATTCCCTTTTGCCTTACTTACATATTTCATGCTGCATTTTAAGCCCATTTCATAATTCTGACAGATTAAATTTATCTGTATTCTTTCTAAAGTTATTGCTGGAATTTGAAGCCAGCATATTCAGGGGGCAAATGTGGGCCCCAAATTCAACTTCTGCCTAAACTTGAAGCTGGCCAAAAAGGAGGGTTCAAATGTACCCAAAGCAGACATGACAAATGTCCCTGATGAAACTTTTCCAAGAAAGGGGTTCCAGTCTTCCTCATCTGCAATATGGGGACAATAATAAGAAATAGTCCCCAGTGCATAGCTCCATTATGTAGGTAAATGAGTTCATGTGTAGAAATACTTAGAACAGTTCCTAACACATAGAATGTAAGGAACTCAGAACTCTTAATTATTGGGTCATCATCATCATTATTATTATTATTTACTATAAAATGATGGAGGTGGGTTAGATTAGTGGATCACAAAGACCAGTCTGGTGAACTACTGGCTGTCTCACTTCATTGAGAATCACTTTGGGGATAATGTTAGAAATAAATTCAGTTTGGGGGGGAATACTATCTCTAGTGATTCTGATTGATGAAGTCTAAGGCATGAGACCCCAGGAATCTGCCTGTTGATACATTTCACAGGTGACTCTTGATCTTAGCCACATTTAGGAGACACTGATGTGGTGGCCTCAGAGGTCTCTCCAGTTCTGGCATCTAAGGACTAGATTGGCCCTTCATCTTCCTTTTGGGAAGCTCCCCATGGACCCTGGGAAGCCACCTGAAAGGACATGTTCCTTTACTTTAGCTTGACTGGAAACACTCAACTCCAAGTTCATAGCCATATGTAACTAGAGCTAACTAAAGCCCCATCCTGCCCAGTCGCTGGGATAGGAAATAAGTGAGCAAGGGACCAGCCTACCAGCAGATCTGAGGGAGCTGGGCCTGAAGAGCTGGGAGGTTTTGACAGCTGGCACAATTTTCAGCAAGCCTAGAAAATGGAAATCACTAGATTCCTTTCCTAACCAACTTCTGTGAACTTGCTGTGGATGCTGACTGGATATTCAAAGAGCCTTGGATTTGATAAATAGGAAGATTAACAAGTTTGTTCTTTTTTTCTTTTTTGTTCTTCAAAACGCAAAATCAATAACTTCATTTCATTTTGCTGCAGTAGCGCCATCTGCTGTTGCCAATAGCATATGACACACACTGTCAGCAAACAAGTGTCCTTAACTAAGGCAAAGCAGGTTAAGGAGGGTAGGAAACTAGAACCTGCAAGGTGCTCTGTATTTTGCCCCTTCTCAAAAGATTTCATACACATAATTACATATGGTCACATAAGTCTTATGCAATAAGGAGAAAAACAGGCAACTTTATTCTTGGGAGTATAGAGAATGTTTGAGCTAAGATCATACAGTTCCACACATAGAAACTTGTGGCAGGTCAGACAGGCACCATTGTCCCATGTATGCTGATGCTACCTGAGGCTCAGGTACCCTCAACCTTTCAACCAGATCTTCTGAATGAATAAAGGGACATTTTTGTCCTTTAAAACAATATAACCTTTTTTTTTTCTTGCCAACACTTGAGGATGATGATCCTTTTCGGCACTGGGATGATGACAGCTGTGCCTCTGTGTGTCCTCTTACATGGAGGTGGAGTGGGAGGGCCCATCTGCCCCTGCAGGGGCCACACAGGAGTTCGTGCTTCTCGTAAATCCTTTCTAGCTGAGCCTGGAAGACTGCCTTCTCAAACTTAGTAACTCACCTCCCTCCCCTCTAGCCTCACCAGAGCCAATGGAAGGCTCAGAGAGAAGCCAACCACCTGCTTGCTATAGTTAGCAAAGACTAGCTGCTGCTAAACCAGCTTACATCTTACCACATGCTGCACATGGCGAGTGGGGGGACTGTCTTGATTGATATTCCATGATATGTGGTGGACTTTAACATATTCTCTCAGCATAAGCAGCTGCCAATCAGTCTAGGGAGGCTGCATGGTCAGACATAGTCTATCTTCTTTAATTATTTAGCTGAAACTTCACTATGAAGATAATTGATGATAAATTCATTGATGAATAGTGACCAGACAGGAGTGTGATAGAGAGACCCAGTGGGACCAGAAGATTACTGATAGGTGAAATCGTGCATTGATTCTTTCAGTTAGACTTCCTCCTGGGCATTGGAAACACAATCCTGAATAAGCTCCCTAATGGAGCTTAAGGAGGAGGGAAGGGAACCTTTTTTGGTTTGGTAGAATCAATCTCTCCTGACAAAGCTCTCAAAAATATGATATTGCAAGCCAGGCACTATGGCATACTCCTGTAAACTCAGCAGCTTGGGAGGCTGAGGCAGGAGGATCACAAGTTTGAGGCTGGCCTCAGCAACTCAGCAAGGCCCTAGGCAACTTAGAGAGAGCCTGTGTCAAAATAAAAAAATAAAAATAGAGAGGGCGAGAGGGCTGGGGATGCAGCTTAGTGGTAGACCATCCCCAGTACTGGGGAAAAAAAAAATCTGACATTGAAGAATTGGCCAATAATTATAATTAAAACAAAAGCATTTTGTTGATTAAACAAAAATAATCAACACATGAGGACCTTATCGCATTTAATGACAATAGGATGATATTTATAAGGCCACAAACCAACACACCAGCTACAAGGTCCTCAGAAATAACAGATTTTCCACTACAGAGTTATAAAACTGACCGAATGGTTTGCCCTTAGCACCTGAAGATTCTTGTTTTTTTTGTTGTTGTGCTTATTGTTTTTAATCAGAAAAATGAGGGAGTCTGTATGTACCCTTAATTCTAATCTATTCTTGTAAATGTATATTCTGAGAGAAAATATTCTAAGCAAGAAAGGGAGTTGATGGGTGGCCATTCTTACGCTAGCCTGAGTTCCAAATCCTGCTACCCCAATAGAAGTACCAAGGCCCAGTTAGACAGGTATCAAAGACTCTTAGCCCCCTCCCCAAGGGCTTGGTTTTCTTCCATTCATATTCTCAAGCTGAACTAGATGGAGGTTATAGCCTCTCCTCAGGTTGGCTCCACCTGTGAAAGACAACCAGTTGCTGGCCTGGGCTAGAGACCACCTCCCTCTTCAGAAGCCACAAGCTCTGTACTGTGCTGGTGGTCTGCCTAGGACTGCCCATATGTCTGTGCCCTGCCCTTTCCTTTAGGCTACTCCTGGTTTGGCTTCCTCTGCTTACTTCTCTCTTGTAGCATTAAGTTAGAAATAATCCGTATGTCCAGCTTGGGGGATAGTTAAGTAAATTATGATACACTGACTCAATGGAACTACAGGCAGCTTTTATTTAAAAACATCAAGAAAAATATATAATGTGATAGAATGTGTACATTAAAATTAGGGGAAAGAACAGCTATATAAAATACAATTGCAGGGAAGGAGAAATGGGAAGATATTATTTAATGAGTATAGAGTTTCAGATCTGCAGGATGAAAAAAGAGAAAATATGATTGTATCTGGGCAAAGCCCGGAAGGGAATCCCCTCCTTGCCCAAGTAAAAATAGATCTTATATTGATACTATAGCATTCTAGGAAAATACATAATGTACTCTAATTTTAAGGTTTCATGAAGCATATTGCCTTCAAGGTATTTTTTAATATTGCCTAGATGCACATCCCATAAATTCATCACCAACCTTAAATCATAGTTTGCCTTCTTTCCCCTTTTTGGAATATTAGAGCCAAGCTTGCCCATCTAAGCCATTTAAGGACTTCTCTCTCATCCTCACTCTCCATATTTTCTTAAAGACCATGCTGTCTCACAGTCTTGCAGGAATTTGAGCTATTTATGTGAGTCAGGAGATTTGAATTAATTTAGACATTAGATGATCGGTTTCTCCAGTTCATTTTCTTCATTTTACTCAGTGCTTAGTCTGCTCATTTTGCAAAGTTGAGGAGTTGGAAAGTCCAGCCTTTTCTGAACAGGACCCCTAAAAATAATCATGAATGCCTGTTTGTATGGACCCTTTTCTTAGTGATTTAAAAATATGTCAGGTGCAGTGGCACACACCTGTAAACCCCAACAGCTCGGGAGGCTTAGGCAGGAAGATCACAAATTCAAAGTTAGCCTCAGTAACTTGGCAAGGCCCTGAGCAACTTAGCAAGACCATATCTCAAAATAAAATATAAAGAAAGGGCTGGGGATGTGGCCCAGTAGTTAGGCATCCCTAGGTTCAATCTCTGATAAAAAACTATTACCTTCTAAAACACCTTTTTAAATTATTTTAACAGTTCAAAGTCAACAACTGTGAAAACATTGTAGGTAACATTATTATTACTTAATTTGTATTGGATAGAAGTAGTGAAGGCATCTTTCAAGAACTTTATTTCGGTAATGGATAAGTAAATTGATGGATAGACAATAGAGCTTTTAAAAATGCATATGCATCATTCTCAAGTAAGACTGACAGTGAAACCATACTTGTTTGCAGGGTATTCTCCTCTCCTTTGTGACCTCAATGACAGCATCACTTTTTTAGAGCTTTGCTACTTTTAGGAGGCCTCTTTCCTATTGGAATGATCCTGGTTCTTTCTGATGTTTTTGAAACCTGTGTTTCTACCAACAAAATTCACTCTGGATTACACAAAGCCTCTCCTTCCTATAACAGTGACCTAGCTACTTTTTCTCTGGGTTCCACAGTTCTTTGCCAGGTCCTCAGCCCAGTTTCTGCTGGTGGACCAGTATCTGGATGGGCCTGGGTTGCGGTTCCTGCTATCCATTCTCTCTTCTAAAGAGTATAACTTTCTAAAGGCAGGTTAAGGAGTTGGATGTTCTGCCATTTAGGCAAGTAGAAGTTTGGGCAGTGTCTAGTGCCCTTGGCTTCCATGCCCATTTTGTGATTTGCATCTAAACTGTAAAATTTATTTCTTCCATCTGACTTGGCAGCTCTCACCCAACATTCTTTGCATGTTTTTCCCCAAGGTTTTTGGACAACATGGGTCTGTTTTCTTAAGCCATATAGCTTTATTCTGCTTCTCTTCCTGAAAATTGACCTTATTTTGAGTAACATGGTGTCCATTCCAGGGTCCTTCCCATCTCATGAAGTCTCACTGACACCACTGAGATCTTAGGTATTCTGTGAGCTAGTTTGTTTTTGTTTGTGCTCCACCCATTGGCATTTAGCTCTCTGACACTGTAATGTCCTCTTCCCTCCCCTTAGAAGTTTCCCATTTACTCTCATCACAAGTATTCTTCTGCCCCACCACCATTCCCTTTAAACCTTCTTCTTTGGGTCATGTAGTTCCTGGGTAGATGGGTAGACGTGACCCATCTAGCCCAGGAGCTGCCTATCTCAGGTTAAAGCCAGAGTTCACACCCATTCTCAATACCACTTGCTGGCCAGCTCTCCACTCACCACATCCGCCTGTCTACAGAATTCTAACCTCTGTTAACAGGAGCAGGAAAACCACCAAGGTCTCCAAAGTGACCTCTGTTCTGTCTCTCACGAAACTACCTAGGTACCTCAGCATGGAAGCAATCTCGGTGAATTCTGTAGTTCAATGAATTCTCTAGTTCGACCTCCTGATTTGGCACATAGGAAACCGAGCCTTGGAAGGTTGAAGCTGCTCATGAAGAGCCTGGTGAATTTCTCAAGGTGTCCTATGGGCCATGTTTCAAGTCCTCCCTCTACCATTTGAGCCCAGACATCTTCTTAGACCTTTATCCCTTCACCAGACCCAAAATGCCTTTGTCCTGCCTCCATTCACTGCAAAAACAAAGTGGATAAATCAGAATTTGCATCTGTGGGAGCTGCATGTGTGAGGCTCTTGATAGGCAGTGTATCCAGATAATCCACTTGTCTCTTTTTCTGTCCCTGGAAATGGTGACTGTGACCACTGTAGTCTAACCAGTTAAAACTCACTTTTGACTCTTCTCTGTATCTCTTTGATCTTTAACACTCCTCAGCGGGACAATTAATTTTCAGTAGTTTGGAATACCTTTCTTTTTAGTATTGGACTGTGTGTTTTTTATAACACACCAATTTTGATTATGTTTTATTAAACTTATATAAAATCAAGTTTCAATTCCTTAATTATATACCCAAAGGTTGTAAAAGACAGCTCCTAAACAGACTGAGTGGCAAACCAAAGATCCTAGAAATCAATGTTAGCCAAAATAAACCAGTGAGACACTGATCTCAACATCCTTGTCTGGTCCCTCCTTGGGCCCAGGCACCTGTGAATCACCAGAGACTTTCATTGAGATATTTATTATTCCAGCGAAAATCTTCTTGCAGTCCCAGAGCATCTTTTTATATCTTAACAGTTTTATGGCAGCCCCCTCCTCCCTTCCCTGCCTGTGCAGCCCCTCTCTTAAGGGAGGTACTCACATTAGCAAGAATGTTCCTTCAGTTAGAAGGTCAGCAAAGTGAGAAATGGATGATGCAAGACAAAGCTGGGACTCTTAAGGGGAAGGGGCAGCTTGGATATAAGTTCAGAGAAGAGGAGCACATGGCTCACTGGTTGGGTGACCCCCTTTCTCAGACCCTGAGGTAGGTGTCTACAGTGCTGCCTCAGTAATGATCTGGCCTGTCCTTTCTGTTTCTGTAGAGTGGGGGGAGGTTCCCATACATTCACATAGTGACCTTCTGACCTTGGAAGGTGGTATTAAGTCTCCACTTTGACTTTTGACCCTTGTGTTTTAGAAGAATATTATAGGCCATTAAATTCACAAACCATTTCACTTTTAATTCCCCACTTTTTTTTTCCAAGATATTATGGGAAATGTTTGTCATTCCAAAATTGAAGTTGGCTGCTTTAGGGAAATTACTTTTATAAACTCTCTGGATTTAAAACAAAACAAAACAAAACAACTGTGAACCATTCAGTCTCTATTGCCATCTAGAAGATGAATCCTGTGGATTCTATGTGGGCAGAGTGTCACCCAGAGGAATTGACAGGATAGAATCAGGCCTAGAGACTCAGAAATCTGCAAAATGAAACTTTCTTTTTAATTGATGTGGACCAAAAGTGGCCTGCTTGGATTCATACCCAGGAGGAGAGCATTGAGTGGGGAGGACCAAGTTCCCATGGTAGAAACGAGCCCTTTGGGTTTGTTCATCTGTCACGTGGGCATGGACATCAGGCTACGGGGACCTGTAAACAAGGCCAGCAGTGTTCCCATTGCCTCCCTCACAGGGTGATGGCCAAGCTCGGGCTCTGGAAACAAGGACACTATTTCTAGCCTAGTGCCACAATTACGTGGGTCAAAGATGACCCTCAACAGGTAGGCTAACCGTGCATAGCCCTAACAGCAGAAGGACTTCCCAGCCAGCTCCCTTATGCCTAGGGGGTGTCACTGGCCTCCCTGCCTTCACTTCTGTCTCCTCACCACTCTGATATTCTAAGGCTAATCCAAAAAAAAAAAAAAAAGGTTTGCTTGGATAAGGTCATATTTTATGATTTTCTTTTGCCTTTCAAACAGCAACAGGAGAAATTGTTTTTAGGTTTTTCTCTGCACCAAACTTCACATCCACCCTCACCTTAGAGGCTCCCAATATTAACCCATTAAGTCCCAAGTTTTCAATTCTGCAAATATTGCATTTAAATTGACACAGGTGCATTAAAATTGGTTGGAAATCATAATGTAGAGTTTATATATTATTATATTTTGTATTATTTTTATTATAATATTATGGTTTTATTATTACATAATTGTATATTATATTTGAGTTTTTATGGAAATTTCACATCTGGGATGATAGAACAAAATGGGTTAAGCCAGATAATTTTGCCTGCAGGGTAGGAAGTCAAATGGAGAAAGTATTCAAATGGCCATCAAAGCAGACTATGGAAAGTTCTATGACTAAGGGAAGGCTGGCTGGACAAGTGTCAGGAGCATAGTTCACAAATAATAGGGTCTCTCTGGCCCTAGTTGGTCCTGCTGAGATCAACTTCAAGGGCACATGGTGGTTCCTCCACTGGTCTCTCTACAGAAGTTTGAGCAATGCACATCAAAGCCTCTGTCCCAGCATCTGAACAACCAGAACTCTCCATGATAGTATCTCACTGCAGCAGCACGAGCCCCCAGTTGGCCTGCACCCACCCCAACCTCCCCACCACATCCCTCTCACTCTCCATGGTTCTTTCAGGGCCCAGGAAACCTTCATGCAGTGGGACCAGTGCCGGCGCTTCTACAACTTCCTCATGGCTGACAACATGAAGAAGATCATTCTCTCACACAGGTATGGCCCTTTCCATTCTCTCAGGAAACACATGGCTTCTTTCTGAGCTGTTTTGGGAATCACTAAAAGCCAGAACTCCTGTTTTTCCAGAATAACAAAACAAAAAAACAACAGGGTGGTGGCCCTTGGGGTCCTGCCCAAGCAGCTGTGACAGGAGGCTCAGGTTGAAGTGTCAGCTCCTGCGTGCTCGAGGCTGGAGCTGCTCCACATTCATCATGCTCATCCTGCCTTCTCAGATTAACCCATCAAGCACTTAGAGCAGTGCCTGGAGAACAGGAGCCTGAGACAAATATTAGCAATAATTATGTCATTATCATTACTGTTTTTGCTCCCATCTCTTTTTCCTCCCTGATGACTACCTTTCCTAGCATCTCTGCTTGCAGACCCAGCCCATCCTTTAAGGCCCATCTCAGGTCTCATCCTCTGCCAGGTTGCTTTTCTACAGCTTCCCCTGTGTGAATCCTGGGTCTTAAACTACATGGGAAGACTTGGAGGGCTTAGGCTTGTTTGGATTTTTCCCAGAGCCTGGCACATCATGAGCACTCAAAAATTACACTTTGGAGGGATTTTTGTCACTATACTAGGAAAAGCAATCAAGCTAAGTGATCTATTTTGTAATCTCTGGTTTTTTTGTTTGAGAAGTAGTCTCACTATGTTGCCCAAGCTGGCCCTGAACTCCTAGGCTCAAGTGATCTTCCTGCCTCAGCCTTCTTAGTAGCAGGGACTATAGGTGTCCACCATCATGCCCAGCTCTCAGTCTCTTTTTTTCAATGGTTAAAAGGAGATGTTGTTGAGCAAGGTCCTTAGCAACTTAGCAAGGCCCTGTTTCAACATTTTTAAAAAAGGGGAGAAGGGGGTTGTTGGTGATGTAGCTCAGTGGTTAAATACCCCTGGGTTCAATCCCTGGTACCTAAATAAATAAATAAATGGAGATGCTGTGCTGCCCATTCCAGCCTGACCCCAGGTGGGGCTTCCTGTGAATGGGCCACCTGATGCCTGAGCAAGGCTGAGGCTTATAGCCCTTCAGGCTGCCAAGCTGCCAGGCATATCCTTAGGTCCTCATGTTGGGTGGATACAGAACAGAGGGACATTTATGTCCCTGTACTATAATAATCAACTATTTGCATTCAGTTCATGTAGTTTGAGCATCAGCCATGTACTGAGATGGGTGTGACTCAACTGAGTGGGTACTCCGGAGATTTGCCAGAGTCATTATTCCAGAAGAGGCAGAGTCAGGGCACCAAGGCCACATCCAAATCCTCTGCCCTCTACACTTCCGGAGTCAAGCGAGACTCCTTCCAGACAAGATCTGTTTTTGCTAAAGGATTTGGTCTTGCTACTAAAATGGTCTGTAGGGGCTGGGGATGTGGCTCAAGCGGTAATGTGCTCGCCTGGCATGGGTGCGGCCCGGGTTCGATCCTTAGCACCACATACAAAGATGTTGTGTCTGCCGAAAACTAAAAAATAAATATTAAAAAAAATTAAATAAATAAATAAAATGGTCTGTAAAGTTCATTATGTGATTCTTAACAAATTGTAAAAATGTGCATAAGTATATTTATCTTTTAAACTTTTTCTATAAAAAGCCAGATACTGTGCTGGCGTTATGGCTCAGCGATAGAGCACTTGCCTAGCATGTGTGAGGCTCTGGGTTCAATTCTCAGCACCACATATAAACAAATGAATAAAATGAAGGTCCATCAACAATAAACATTATTTTTTTTTAAATCCAGATACTCTGAAATTTTAAAAAACTTTAACTTGTGAACCCTGTCCCATAGATATATAAGATAATCTTCCTAATTATCTTTTTTTAAATATTTATTTATTTGTAGATGAACACACAATATCTTTTTTTATTTTTACGTGGTACTGAGAATCAACCCAGTGCCTCACACATGTGAGGCAAGCACTTTACCACTGAGCTACAGCCCCAGCCCCTTCCTAATTATCTTGAAAAAAATAAGTGCTAGAGTAATGTATCTGTCTTCTTTTGGAAAGGTTGTGAAAATATGCAGAACACTGAGTTTCTGTAATGACACTTTCCTACCATAGAACCAAACCTCAAAGCAAACTCACTCCTCCCTTAGCTGTGTGACTGAGAGTTCTTGCTGGGAAGAGCAGGCTACCATGTACATTTTGACCCCTTTGTTGTGTTGCTCTCAAGATGGATCTGCTTCTCCCTAGAAATAACCACTGTACTGAATACAGTTGGCTCTGTATCTACATGAGCTCTTCATCCCTTGTTTCAACCAACAGTGGATAAAAATATTAGACCTACAAAGGTTGTATCTGTCCTGAACATGTACAAACTTTTCTTATCATTGTTTCCTAAACAATACAACAACTTTTACGTAGCATCTGTGTTAATTACTATAAGTAACCTATAGATGATTTAAAGTATTCATGAGGATGGCATAGGTCATGTGCAAATCCTAAAGCAAGGCATGTTTGTGGATGCATCCATAATCTCAGCTCTCAGGATGCTGAGGCAGGAGAAGCACTTAAGCCCAGGAGTTCAAAGCCAGGCTAGGCAACGCAGTGAGACCCCAACCCAAAATAAAACACAAACACACACACACACACTAAATAAATCCTACACCATTTTATGGAAGGGACTAGAGCATCCATGGATTTTGTTATCTGGGGTGGGGAGGTGTCTTAGAACCAGTCGCACATGGATACCAAGGAATGATCTTATACAGCTTTTTAGCTAAGTCTTTGGGTGATGTTGATTTACCCAAATGCTGAATAGGTTATCGTTGTCTTCCTTGTTAAGCAACATAAATGGCTCATAAAGGGCAAGGGGCCCTGCCAAAGGAGTCATTGTCAATACCAGTGTAAGGGTGAGTGGTAAGTCACTACCCACCACTCACCACAGGACTCATCCTGATACCTCCTCTGTGCTGAGGTCCTGTAATATTCAGCTAGTTTCAGACACACAATCTTTAGTTTTTTCTAGTGCCCCCAAGAGGACAGTAAGGTCTTTGTGTTCATCTTTCTGAACGTTCTTCAAAAATCACCACTCAGGTTCATCCTCTAGGACATTCTAAAGGCTGAAAGGATGTTTCTAACTTACCACATGGACTCTGGTTCATGTGGTCACAACTCTCCGGACTTGCTTCTGGACATGGAAGCAGGCTCTGTTGGTTTCTCTCTGCATGTGATTTTTTTTAATTCGATTGGTGTATTATAATTATACATAATAGTGGGATTCATTATTACATGTTCATACATGCATTCAATAGAATGATATCATTTGGTCAATTTCTCCTTGCTTTTGTGTCTTCCCCCAAGGCAAGCCCTTTTTGGAGACCATGTGAAGAAACCCCAGAGCCTGGAGGACACGGACTTGAGCCGGCTCTACACAGCTACATCCTTGATGCAGATTGATGACAACGTGATGAGGTAGGTCCATGAAGCTGGAGAGGAATGCTTGGGGGTGGGCCGAGAGGCGGGAAGCTGCAGGCCAGCTCTGCCCAGCATAGCTCTTTGCTTTTCCCACTTTAGTGGTAAGGGAATAAGCAGCCAGTGTTTAAAAACAGATTTAACAGAAAAATTCTAATTTCTTGAGAAATAGGTAGAGGGTCTGACAACTCGTCCTACATGGCACAGTTGACATGAGTCAAGGGGCTGGGTGTGCACACCCTAGTCACCCTCAATCCTTCCCCTGGCTGTTCTGCCTCAGGACCAGGGCAAGATCAGGTGTCACATAAACCTGCCTTCTCAGTGGAAGGAAAGGAAGTGACGTTACCATCAAAAATGAAAAAAAAAAAACAAAGACCAAGAAAGCTGTGTGTGTCAAGCAAAATGGACAGAGCCTCTTACGTTGGGGGCAGGAGACGTCTCTGTGTAAGATGCAAACCCTGCCTACTTCACTTGTTTTCTCTCCACCTGCCTGGCCCCTCCTGGCGCCTGTAACACGACCCTCACAGTGTCTTCTTTCCTGCTGCCAGTAGTGTCTGACAGAAGTTGGCCTTAGCTGGAAAAGGTGTGGATCTCTGACCACAAAAGATCATCCTTTTTAAATAATCATTTGATACCTTTGATGTGACCTAAAGCAAACAAGTATTTATCCAATCGATAGGGAGAGAAAGGCCTGAGGACGTGAAAACTCTACTTTTCTTCTTCTCAAGATTTTAGTAGCCTTCTTATACCAAGTAGCCTTGAAATGTGCTTGTTAACAGTTTCTCAAGGGAAATAGACACTAGGAAATTATTGGTATGTTCAAAAAGAGTAGAAGGAACCATACCCCGCCCCCCACTTAAGATGGGGCATGTGACTTACTGTGGTGTCTAATAAGAAAAAAAAATAATTTTAATTTCTCAATTCATCTTCTCAATTTTTTAAGCCCAAAAGAGAATGTTCTCAACTCTTTATAAATTTCTTCCTTCATAATCATGTCGGGTAGTAGCGGATTCATATCAGTTTTGGCAACCTCCTCACAGATCTCTCACCAGTCATACTGGAGGAATAGGATGAGAAGGGACAGATTTCACAGGGACAGAGGTACTGGAGATGATGTCTACACAGCAAGAGTCCCTGATGGTCCAGCCTGAGCTTTCTTGGCAAAGACGTCAAAGACAGCTGGGGTAGAAGTGCCCCAGGTTCAATCCTAGTTCAAAAAAACAAACTACAAGACTTTCAGGCTGGTACACTGAAGGTTTTATTAAGTGTCAATTTGTCTCTGATTACTGCTCCACATTTTATTCCCATTTAAGTGACCAATAAGAACTCTTTTGAAAAGAAAGTTGTAGCCTTTGAATTAAGTTTCTCTATGGTGATTTATGGTTTCATTGATGTTTCACTAATAATTATAGATGACACTGAGTTGTTCCTCTCAGCCAGTTACCAGGCTAGTAGCACTTAAGTGCAATTACTATTGCAGCACCATCAAAAAGTTCCTGTTTTCAGACCTATTTTACACAGGATGAACCATTCTCTTGAAGTCACGCAGCCAGTAAGTAGCAGAGCCAGGATTTGAACTCAGATGCCAAAGCCAGCATTCTTGACCCTAAACACTGCTACCTGTTCTGCTGATAGGACAAGTTAATATAGAAACTAGAGTGGTAATAAAATCAACTCAGCATTTAGACCAGACTTGGCTGCCTGTGCATATTCTACCAATGCAGTGAGTTAGTGTGAGAATTAGATAATAATCAGCTCAATATTTCCATCTTATGACAAATGTTGTTTTGTCCTTTTTCCTTTTCTTTTTTTTTTCTCTTTCTTTTTTGTTATGTTCCAGGAAGTTCCATGGCTATAACTCCCTGAAAGAGTATTATGAGGAAGAAAGCTGCATGAGGTACCTGCACAGGGTGAGTAGACAACACTGGCTCAGAATTCGTGTCACTCCACCCAGCTCCATCCATGGTACAAAAATATACCTCCTAAATTTCCTAGTGGAAGCTCAGCCAGACTCTAGCTGGATCTGTTCTAGTTTTTGACTCTTTTTTTTTTTTAATTAAACCAAAGTGTGTCCCTCTGTGACCACCATACACTAATCCCAGAACCACCCCTTAGACCAGGCTGCTCCCAAGTCTATATGAAAGCCTTTTTTTATTGCTGCAACACCCCATTTTTTTCTTACACTCCCTTTGGTAGTGTAATCCTACCCAGTTTCTACCATCCTTCTTCATGGGAGCTCCAGGTTTCTTATCATCCTGAACCCTTCTTTTTGGCTATTATGTATTTTGTTAGTGTGGTGCCTAGAACGGAATTCCAAATTCCTGCCATGATCCAGTGAGTATAGAGTCAAATGGATGTATTTATCCAAATGATAAGGAGCATGTCTGTTGATTAAGTAGACTGGTTTGCATCAATGCATTTTTTTAGCAGCTACAATAAGTGTGTGTATTAAATTTGTGGCTAATCAAAATTCCCACATACTTTTTGACCTAGCCCATCACCAAGCCAGTCTCTCTTATTCTCTTGGCACAACTGCTTTTTTTATACAATCACAGAACTTCTCATTTATCTCTGTCAGGGTCCACCTGCTGGTTTGGCTCACCATTTCCCCAGCTATAGCAGATAATTGTGTATCAAAGTTCTGCTCTTTTAGTAGCCTTCCCAGCTACTTTAGCATCATCACCCCAGCTTTGGGCATATTTATTTAAGCCATTATATAAATGTTGAGCTGTGTATAGCCAATATCAGAAAGTTCCAGGAAAGCACAGCCATTCACTAGGCATGGCTGTTCAGGAAAATCTCATTTCCACTCAAATGCAAAAGGAGACCATTGGCTGTTTTACCTAAAGTGGATACTGAATGCAATCCTGCCAAGATCCCCAGCTATTCACCAGCCTACTCATAATTTCAACCTTCAGATTCTTCTGGAAAGTCTTTTTTGTCTGGAATGGAGTGCACTTCATTTTCCTTTCCCACAATATAAACCAAATGAGTAGGCACATAACTCTTGGTAAAGTCATTTTTCTGAAATGTGTGACTAATTTGAAACACTATGAAGACCAATCAGAATTATTTTGACAGTGAATGCCACTCGGCACTCCCCTCTCTTCAGTACCTGAGGACACTGGGAACTTTGCCCCTGCACATACCTGCTGCCAGGTGATGATCACAGTGGCACCTGTAACTCAGCCTACTGCCAGTGAATACCAGGCATCCTTATCCCATCTGTTTAGCAAGCCAATCTGTGACCCTCTTCCTTTTGCTTCAAAGACATGTCTGGTAGTGATTCTGAACCTTAAATCAATGGGATCTAGAAAAGGGAATTGATCATTTCATTCAACTTTTTGTTGTTGTAGATTTATGTGCCTCTCATGCTGGTTAATGCAGCTGATGATCCCTTGGTGCATGAAAGCCTTCTAACCATTCCAAAGGCCCTTTCAGGTAAGTGTTTCTTCTTCTGCTCCCCGAACCACTCAGCAAATTCACTATTCCTTTAGCTCTAGGAACCAACCTCTTCAAGGAAGGACAGTTCACGCCTATCCTCCAAGTTCTGGAGTTGTGAAGGGCCTAGGCAGAGTATCATCGTTCAGGAGCCAGAAACATCCTTGATGCCTTGATGTCTATCACCAAGACAGTTTGGTGTTCTGCAGAATTATTGTCTCAGAGTTATGGTTTCATTAAGTAGGAGAGTTTGACTTCAGAGATATTTTCATGTAAAATTTGACCTGAAAAGCAAAACAAAAAAAAGCCAGTTCTATTACCTCTGGTGACAGCCTCTCCATCTGCTTTAGGGATAAAAATATAAGCAACTGAAATGGCAAAGAATGTTGCTCATGGAAATGTTACTGTGCCTCATGTGAGCACAGTCTCATTTCGTGCTGAATAAGAAGCTAAAAGGGAAAATAGAGTGCTGGCCTAGCATGCCCAAAGTCCTTGGTTCCATCCTCAGTGGGGTAGGAGAAAGAGAAAGCACAGAGAGCTTAGAAGGAGGATTTGATAGGAAATTGCACAGCTACTTTTCAGTGTAATTTCAGATCCTTAGGACATCATCTCCACACTCCTCACTGATGACCACTTGGTGCATGAAAGGGACATTGAAACCATTATATGAATCTTGCAAATATCATATAATAACCAGAGGAAGAGCTATACCTCTGATTCTCCCATGACCCTCAGGAGAGTAAATCGTAGAGCAGACAAAGGAACCACTGCCAGGGCCCTATTACACTGCCCAGGTCGGAGGCTGTGTGTAGGACAAGTGTCACATTGATAAGGATCTGTCTCCTGTCAACCCCCATCCAACCACAGACTCACTGCACAAGTGCAACCCACAAGTGCATGGCAGTGAGAGAAAGCAACAGCACTTGTCCCCTTCTGGAGCTCTAAGTGATGTTCACAGCGCAAGTGCTGTCACATAGAAACTTACAAAACAGCAACTGAAGAGCAAGAATTAAGTGGGTAAGACTAGAAAACAGCCCTGGAAAGCCAGCCAGGGGGCCCTTCAGTCATTCCCCTGGGAAGACAGGTGCTTCCTATTAAACTTGGCTGCCCCTGTCTGCCCCATGTACACACATTTTCAGTAGTGGCCTTTACTAGCCTTGTGGGATCAACCTAAATATGGAATCAGAAAGTCAAGCTCTAGGTCATTAACCCAGAATGGCTGTCTAGCATGTGGCATTGGCAGCTCAGGCTTTAACACAACTTGCAGCTTTAAGTCTTAGTCTCAAAGATAAATGAGTGGGATGAAAAATGATTGACTCTGTTGAATTCTCCTTATTCTCTAGGAAATAACACTCTGAGTGTTATGAACCTCTCCTTAGGGTCCGCCCACCCTCAGATTATTAAATCAGAACTGCATTTTAACAAGATACCCCAGGTGGATCCAGATGCACAAAATTGGGAAGCATAACCGAACACCTGGAGCGCTTTAGCAATACCCGTGCCTGGGTTCCCCTCCCTTGCTCATTCTTCTCCCACCCCTAAGTCTCTGATTTAATTACTCTGGGTGCAGCCTAGACTTAGGGAGCTTGAAAAGCTTCCCAGGTGATTCTAATATGCAGCCAAGTTTGAGAACCACTTAAAAGAGTTCCAAGGATTTCTAAAGCCAACGCCTATTCTTCCCAAAGGCATGCGGGTCCCAAAGCTAGCTAGGTTCCACTGTCTTGGCTGGCCAACTTTGGTGAACAAGGCAGTGAGAGCAGAGGTTAGATGCCCACTTAGATGATTTTTCCCTGTTAGCAAAGCCCAGGCCATCCCAGCCAGCTCACTCCCCTTCACATCTCCTGCCTGAAGCTAACTAGAGTGCGGTAACTCTCTGCCTTTCCCCTGCAGAGAAACGGGAGAATGTCATGTTTGTGCTGCCTCTGCATGGGGGCCACCTGGGCTTCTTTGAGGGCTCTGTGCTGTTTCCCGAACCCCTGACGTGGATGGATAAGCTGGTGGTGGAGTATGCGAATGCCATCTGCCAGTGGGAACGAAACAAGTCGCAGTGCTCTGACACGGAGCAGATGGAGGCCGAGCTGGAGTGAGGCCTCCGGACTCTGGCGCGCTCCAGCAACCCTCCTCTGGAACCCGCGTCCCCTTGCCCGCTGTTTCAGGTCTCCCATCTCCCTCAGCGACCTGGACCTGACCTCCGATCATCAGCGGGGCCCCGTCGTGCACAGGTGTCTCGAGTAGGAGGCTCTCCCTGGGAGCTCCAGGCTATTTTTGTGCTTAGTTACTGGTTTTCTCCATTGCGTTGTTAGCCATGGTGACAAATGACAGGGTTCTCACCCTTCTGTCCGGTTTTTTCAGCTTCTGATTGCTTTTAAGCCAATTACATCTAGTTTCCCTATTAAAAATGTGTCTGAACAGCCATTCTGCTTTGCCAATCAAAAGGCTTTTCCCTGAGAACAGTGAAGGATATATGTCGTTTCGTGGTGGTTGTATGTGTCCTATGTAGACCCTGACAAAAGCTCACCATTCTGGGCCAATGCTGAAGATGTGACTCGGCCTGGGAATCTGGGAGCCTGCAATTCCCAGGCCAGAGTGCAGCCTCTTAAATGGCAAAGGAAATTCCACTTGAGTCACAAGCCAAGTTTCCTCCCTCACCATCCACTAGGACAGTCCCCTCATACCTTGTTGCCACTGCTGAGAGTTGCTTGAGACACTTTTTAAAAATTCAGCCTCCCAGGTCCCTCCCCTTAGAGAGGCTGACTCATTGGGTCTGGGAAGGAGCCTGGAGATTTTAATTTTTGACAAGTGCCCCAAGGGATTCTCATCAGGAGGCAAATTTGGGACACATTGTTCTATAGCGCCTTTAAATTAGAAGCATCTTGGTGGCTCATTTTATTGAAATTCATCGTCATTGATGTCTCTTTGCTCCCAGGGGCCTCCAGAGCAGCAAGGCCTGTTGCATAGCTGCCCTTGTGTAATCAGTGTAGTGTCCCCACAAAGGACCCTGAGTGGGAGTGGGCCTTTGGGCTGAGCCCTGGCTCTGATTCTCACCTGCTATATGACCCTGGATAAGTCTCTTTGGACTTGAGTCTCTTCGCCTATGAAATGAGGGACTTGGACCAGGTAGATTGCTGAGATGACCACCAGTCCTAAGTTCAATGACAAACTCAGTTTACTGAGCTTTGAGAGAACATCCCTCCAGGCGAGGCTGGGAGCTCTTCTCCCAGGCTAAGCATTTACCTTTCTTTTTCCCTATCTGCCACCCCCCCCCCCCCCCCACATTTCATATAAAGAGATTTTGGGGGTTTTTTGAGCACTTAATTGTAATTTTAGTTTTTTTAACCCAGGTCCCTCTAACTCTGGCTTTTGATACTGAACAATTCAAAAGTTGGATCCGAGTTTGAAGAAGAAAGATATTTCCAACCAAAGAGGGTGTTGTTTTGAAACTGGATTTTTAAATGAATAGCCTCTATTTGTTGTTGGTTGGCTAGATCTTTCTGAAATGTCTTTTCAAGTGGAAATATCACTATAGGTTTCAAGTACTTCTTTTCTCCCATCCTGTGGTACTTGAAGATCTAAGAACCCTGTGCTTTGAAAAATCAGCAGTTGCTATCTGGAATTAAATAGAACTATGAGTGAAATTGCCTGAATACTTTAAAAAAATATATTTTCTTTGCTGCATCTCCTTTGGCTCCAGGACAGACTGGAATAAGTGGTCTGTGTGGATGTTTAAGGAATAAAGGGAGCCACCTGGGCACCTGAATGCCAGCCCCTGTGGCCACAGTTTGGGCATTGGCCCAAGTGACTGTGACAATTACATCTGTAACCTGAAGTTGTTTTCTGACAATCACCAGATCATCCTAATAACATCAGAAACAGCCATTATCTCAAAAGACTGAGATTACTGTGGTCTTGACTTTGTCTTGGTATAATTTCTCACACTTGCTAAATCCTGTCATTACAACTTCCCCCCCAAGTTGACATTTCTTTAACGCATCTCCTCTTCATGTTCTTTTAGCACAAATTGGCACTTTATTATCTATGCCTCGATTTGGAAGCTAGTCTTTCTCCTCTGTTGCTTTTCTCTCCACCACCCACATCTGTAATCTGGGTTTAGGGCCATACTTTCGTTTCTCAGACTTTTTACTAAAATAGGTCCATCAAGCAATAACTTAATAGGATGGAATCAGCATTTGGAAGTGAGGGGCTCCTTTCACTTGTTTGAGGCCACATCCTTGACCTGCTATGGAAGTAGTGGCCCAGGTACCCCTCCCTCCAGGAGAACAGTCCTGAGGCTTCACACACAGGAAGGGGGGCCGGGCTTGTCCCAGGAGCTGGCCTGTATGGCAGGCCTGGAAGCCTCCCACCCCAGGAGAGGCAGGCTGGGGCAGAGCCTTTGTTGCCACACAGCCGGAATTCCCCACCCCCAGGACTGGGGGGCCACGTCCCAGCTGAAATCTCTTTAGTGTGGAACTCTGAATGGCACTTACATTCCATTTTGGTTCACATGAAATCAACTGAAGCCCTTTATTCAAGCTTCAGGCTCTCAGGCATGGAAATGAGAATATGACTGTGGCTGTCTTACAGGAAAATTCTTGTTTGTCCCTGAATGAGAGCACAGAGGCACTGAATGTAGAGATGCAAACTTGCCTAATAAATGAGGGAGCAGCACTTTATATGTAGGTCATCTTTTCTCCTTTCTCTGGGCTTCCTCGCTTTTTTTCCCAAAGTCATTCCTTTCTGATGATAATGTGAATGCTCTTCTTGCTATGAAGGTCTTAGCTGGGCTGAAACAAGCCTGGATTTTCAGAAAGTGTTTGAATATTCTATTTTGAAATCAAATTAAGGATATAAATTGCATAGGTCTAGACAATTCTGTGGCAGGAATAATATGTCAGAAACCAAGGGAAAGAAGCACCCCACTCTTCTCCAGTTGTGCTCCCTGCTCCCCCCACCCCCCAGATAATTTAAAGACGTTGCTCCCAGTCAAATTAGTATTGCCTGTCTTAAAAAAGTGCATTGGGTCTCTTTGATACATGTATGTTAAAAGGGAGTTCAACAGACTCGAAGAAAACCTTTTCTCTTTTTTGTGGTGAGTTTGCACCAATGATTCCAGACCAGAATGAAGATAGAGAGTTATTTGTTGTTACAATATTCTGTTAACTTCTCTGCAGCGTTTCAGGCATAAGGGAACCTTAGGCCCCACTGTGAGAGTGGAAATACACTAAAAAGGAATGTTCCTTTCTTGACCTGGTATTAGGGAACCAGAGTCCAGGAGACGTAGCTTCTCATCCCTAATGTCTCTGATTCACATTGGACAAGTGGGCAAGTCACTTCACATGCCTGAGCCTGTCACCTCATCTTAGGCCATCCTAAGACGACTTCATTTACATATCATTTGCCTGATCTTTGTGGAACACTTGCCTGAAGTTGGCCTCTTCAAGCCCTTGCAGGTAGAAACAAACAGCCATGTCATCGGCCAAAGCTTATTTGAAGGGACTTGAATGAGGGAGTTTGTGCATTCAGCTTTTCCTGGTTAGGCCCCTGAATAGCTTCTAAAGCCCTGTGTCTCACTGGCTTCTCTCCCAAGGGGAGTTGTCATTGCAGTATCCTTGCTATTCTAAGGGCAGTCTCATGACTATGGCAGGTGCTGGCCATCAGGATGAGGACAATAACTTCATCCTTCAGTGTGATCAGGCAGAGCATGGAAAATGCCCAGGGCAGAAGTCCTTCCTGCCCAGGCTTTCATTCTATCCCATAGTCTTCATTGAAGTGAACTTGTAGGCAGCTGAGCTTCTGACATCAAATGAGAATTCTTTTTGTAACTAGGTGACTTGAGATGGATTTTGCCAGCTCCAAGGAAATGATACGTGTGTTTTTGTTTGTGTTTGCCAAGCACACAGGTGTTCCAGATGTGAGAGGCTTTTCCTGTGGCCTTGACTTAAAGTAAAGACCATTGAAACACCACATCTAGTGTCCTGGCACTAAATGAAGACATGAAGGACTCATGTCTTCATCCTTTAGGAAGGCAGGAAAGTCATAAGTAAGCATTTTGCTGCAGCATTCTGTCACTGTATCATCTGGAATTATTTTCTTTGCCCAAAAGCCTTACCACACCTGTAGAAAATCCCCTGGTATTACAATATCATGGTGGAAGAATTAAAACTCTTCTGCTATGGAATTTTGAAACAAAACCAGAAAGTATCCTCAAGTGTCCTGCAGGCTCTTTATTATGTTCTGTCCCCACCTCCCACCCCTCAACAATAGACATGATCCAGATGGGCCAAAACCCCTCATCTCTGGCATATGTCTTCTTTGGATTACTTGGATGCTCCAAAAAGTCATGAAAAGTGGCCTGCCTGTGGCATGTAGAAGCCAACCAATTGGGACAAATTTTCCTTCCACCTGTTAGCAGAGGGAAGTACCCCATCCTTCATAAACTAGGATTGTTTTTGCCAAATTATATTTGAAGCTGGCTGGCAGAGAAAACTGGAAAGCCATCCATAGCAAAAGCTGTGCCTGCATCACTGCTACTGCCGTTTCTGGGTGCTGCAGCCAGCATCCTCCATCGTGGCTCTTGAATTCAGGCCATGGAGTCCAGCTCCCCATTCTCAGGCTCCCAGAATAGATGCTACCCTTTTGGAAGAGTCAGTCCACCATGTTTTCTGAACCTTTTTCCAGGCATATGCTGGTAGAGCTTTCATGGATCGCTAATAAATAAGCTGAAGTTAATTTCTCACTGGTGGAGTAAGTCAAACATTCTGAGTTTCACAAAGTTCTCAGCTTTTAACTAGAACTCCTATCAATTAGTAATGAAATCCATAACTACCTTCTCTCCCTTTTGGTCCCCATTAGCTAAGAAATCCACTATTGCCATAAGTTGGGGACAGACCACCTATAGTATCTGCAGAAATACCCTTAGTCTCAATGGGCATTCTCCTCCCAGACCATTCACATTCAGCAGCCAACAGTCGCCTAGAATAATTGCAACCTGCTTGGTCCCAGTGCCAACCACTTCTCTCCCAGGCTGGCCATGTAAGTGGACCAAGTCCCTGGGTATTAGGAGTTAGATTTTTTTTTTTTTTCATTCTGGCCACTTTAGTTTTCCTAAAGCACAAGTCCATGTAGAATCCTGTCACCTTTCCAACCAGTTCCAGATGGTCTGGGTCTCTCCCACTGCCTCAGGAAGACCTTCACTGTACCTGAGCTTCTGATTTCTGCCACTGCAGCTGCCTTAGTGGGTATGGGGGAGGGGGGTGGGGGGGCGCCAGTTTGCATCTCTCTTTTTCCTGGTTAGACTCAGTTCAACCACATTCTTCTGTTGGCAGATCTGCTTCAGATTGATTTTTGAGAACCATCACTTTCACATTCCTGATTCTGGTTCATTTCGTTTTGTTTTGTTCTCTTTGGGTTTTCTGAAACTTTTAAATGCTGCCCTGAAAATATTGTATTTTTGAGTTTGTGTTCTGAAAGCCTCCACGCTGCTGGATCTTTGGGGGGAAATAACAGGATCCTTCAGCACCGAGGTGTTTAAGATTCGCAACTAGCAATGCAATTTTTTCTAAATATGAGGATATTTACCTTTATTAAGAAATTATACTAAATGATGGTGTCCTTGATCATTTTGTGTTCTCATATTACTTTCGATTCTATATGATTCTGTGTGGTGGTGAACAAAGATCATTACAAACAAAACTGTAATTTTGTTATCTTTGATTCAACTGAATTTCTTTACTTAAAAAAATAAAGTCTAAAAAATGTGGCATGGCTGTGTGTGCTTTGTGTAGTGGTAAAACCAAGTAGATGTGCCTTCACCAAAGCGTGGGCTTAATAGAAATGCACAAAACACCAGTTTTTCCTCACAACTGATGTCAACCCAACCTTGCACACAGATACCAAAAATACGACCAGCCCACGAGTCCTCACAAGCCCATCCTCTCCAGGCAAAAAAGCCAAGAACTGATAAAGTGAGGATGGCAACATTTTAACCAACTGCTAAAGTGAACCATGTAGATGGAATGCAAAGCAAGATGGAGGTAATGTTTGCCATGCATGGTTTGGGTGATTTTCCAGTATCATTCTTAGATAACTAGCCAAATGTTACCTAAATCAAAATGGTATTGGTTTGGTTGGTGGTGATTGGATCTTTCTGAACCCAAGCAAAGTATCTCCCAGGGCCGGGCACAGCTCAGCCAAGAGAGCTATCCCACCCACAAGAGCCTTGCACTCAGAGCCCTCCTCCCTCCTGGGCCATGAAAAGCCTTTGAGCTGGGTCAGGTGGAGAGTGTTGGCTTTGGAAGATAGGCATTAGCAAGATCAATATCAGATTACGGGGCTGGCGATGTGGCTCAAATGGTAGCGTGCTTGCCTAGCATGCATGAGGCACTGGGTTTGATTGTCATCACCACATAAAATAAAAGATATTGTGTCCACCTAAAACTAAAAAATAAATATTTAAAAAATATATCAGGCTACAAATATATCATCCTTCTTAACAAGCTTCTCCCCATTTCTAGTCTCTCTCCCAAAATAACCAGACTATTTTGATCCAAGAAAACAAACTTGGAAAGAATACTACCTATGAAAAGCACGACAAGGGCCAGGTACAGTGGCACACACGTGTAATCTCAGCAACTAGGGAGACTGAGGCAGGAGGATTGCAAGCTTAAGGACCAGCCTGGGCAACTTGGAAAGATTCTGTCTCAGAAAGCATTGGGGATGTAGCTTGATGTTAGAGCATTCCAAGGTTCAATCCCCAGTACAAAAAAGGAAAAAACAGAAGAGATTTCAGCTCCTGGGTATTGAATAAGTAGGTGCTAACTGCTTGCCAGTGTGGTCCTTTGCTGTATCTCTGCTAAGCAAACTTTTAGCATTTGTTGCTGCCCCAATACAGCTAATATTTTTTTCAATTATACCTTTCATTAATAGGCTTTTCAGCTCTGGTTGTGTAGGGAGTTACTTTCCCATGGTAAAGACTGAACATCTAACTGGATGGCCCTCTGTATGACCATCTCCCCTCCTCATTTCTCTCTTAATTGTCCTTAGAGGGAATTACAGGAAGGTACCAGCCACTTATCTGAGTGGTTGAAAGACATTACAAGCAGTCTAGCCTTGAACTACTGAAAATCTCCCCAAAGGAGACAAATTAAATCCCTCTCTCCTATGGTTGTGTGCCACCCAGAACTTCCTTTTGACTAGTTGGAATTATATCAGTACCTCTACTGAACACTGGTTGGTTTCTTCTTAAAATTGTTTCCTCTTTTATCTGATGATGGTTGGGGACCCAGATCTGACATAAATGAAGTTCTTACTTCCTTATTCCTCTTTCCCTTTTCTACCTGCACCTCCTCCACCTCCAGGAATAAATGAAACAAATATTTGAAACAAGTAGTAACAGCCAGAGGGACTCAGAACCAGAATTGTTGGGTTAGAGTTCCATCCTGACCACTTTCTAACCCTTTAATCCTAAGCAGGTCATATGTGCACACACACACACACACACACATCCTACAGGTTTTATATATATACACACACACATAGTTTCCAAAAATATATATAAATTAGTTTCCAAAAAAATTAATATATTTAGTTTCCAAAACATATAAATATATTTGTATTTATTTGCATATAAAATTTTTTTCATATTTTACCTGTAAGATGACTATAAGAATGCCTGCCTCAGAATATTGAGGGGCTTCAAATAATGTTTTTCAAAGTGTCCCTGTTATTTCAGGCAGTGGTTTTGACTTTGTTTGGTTCCCACTCATAAATCATCTCCTGGACAGTGTAGAAACTAGAAGACAAGTGTCCTCGTGGGGAGCTCTATGCCAAAGTCTCCTCAGGGAAAATAAGGAGAGGTTTAGTTTCCAAAACGTTTCTGGGCAAGTGTGCACCATCAAACCCTGAACCTAATTTTTTCCTTATTAATATAGTCATATTGAGAAATCACACATGTTCTTCCTAATGACATGGCTACTTCTGAGCACAGCCCCAGGGAGGAGATTGCTCTTATTCTAGGAAATTTGGCCTATGGCTGCTGCTTTCCCACCTGGACTTTTGTAGCCCAGGCTGAAAGAGCCAGGCTTCAGCATCCCTGCTTTTCTCTCCTCTCTGCTCGAGTGCAAAATTTGCCTTTAAAATCTTAGATATTAGCTAAGTGTAGTGGTACACACCTTGTAATCCCAGGAACTCAGGAGGCTGAGGCAGGAGGATGACAGGTTTGAGGTTAGCCTCAGCAACTTAGCAAGTCCCTAAGCAACTTAACAAGATCCTCTATCAAAAAATAAGAAAGGGGGCTGGAGTTGTGGCTCAGTGGTAGAGTGCTTGCCTAGCATGTGTGAGGCACTGGGTTCCTTTCTCAGCATCACATATAAGCAAATAAATAAAGGTCTATTAATAACTAATAAAAATATAAGAATAGGACCTGGGTTTATAGCTCAGCGGTAGAGCATTTGCCTGGTATATGTGAGGCACTTTGTTCGATCCTCAGTACCACATTTAAAAATAATAAAAATAAAGATATTGTGTCCATCTACAACTAAAAAATAAAATTAAAAAAAAAAAAAAAAGAAAAAGATGGGGCCGGGGATGTGGCTCAAGTGGTGGCGTGCTCGCCTAGCCCTTCGTGAGGCACTGGGTTCGATTCTCAGCACCACATAAAAATAAAAATGTTGTGTCCACCTAAAACTAAAAAATGAATATTTTTTTTAAAAAAAAGAAAGAAAGGCTATGGATGTAGGTCAATGGTAAAGCACCCTGGGTTCGATCCTAGTAGCAAAAAAACAAAAAACTTGCCAGCTTCCACATCTTCACCTTCTCCATATGTCTATACACAGTGCTTTAGCAGTGCACATTTTAGCTACCTGGGGAGCTTGGAAAGATATGGATGGCCAGGCTGTATGCCAGAACAAGTGAACCAATCCCGTGGCTGGAGCCCAGGGTAAAATAATTTTAAAGCTTCCCCAGAGGATTCCAACTGGCAGGAAGTTTGCAAACCACTGCTTTGGAAGTTTTGATGAGCTCTTTAATGGGCAATTCCCTGGGAGTCTTGCTATAAAAATGCAGGTTCAGACTCAGTAGATCTAGGGTGGGGCTACAATTATGCATTGCTAGTGAGCTCTAAACAGGTGATCTGTGAATGGTGAGGTTCCTGGGGAACCGCTGAGCTTCCAAAACCAACACTGCTGAGTTTCATAGGAGAGAGATCAGAAATGGCCCAGTTCACCCTTTAGATGACTGTCCACCTCTTTTCCTAGCTGGCTTGACTATGACAAAGGCACACACCTCTTCCAGGAGCTGCACCAGGCAGCACTAGCCTCCTCCAGTAACTTGGTGAACTCAAGGATGCGAGCCGAGGCTGATCCTGCTCAGAGACTCTCTGAGGCTTGGAGGACATTTCTCTAGTGAAACCTCTACCCACACCTGGATGAATGGCCTCCAGAGTCTGCTGTCTTCATTCCTCCAAGGGGCTATGTGGGGATGCAGCAATACATTGCCACAAACTTCCACCCTCGCATTGTGCTCCAATTGCCGTTTGCAGCAGAATCCCTGCCTCACCCCAGATGTCTCCAAAAGGAAGTCACTTGGGCACCAAATGGTTGTCATAAAATTCTTGCTTCCTGTGGCTTTCAGGAGTATTTTTATGCTCACTCTCCCGCTTGTGCTCTCTCTCTCATGTGAGTGTCAGGTGGGGAAAAAGCACGTGTAGGACTTGCACACATAAGCAGCTGGGATTTTGTGGGAGCTGAGTATGTCATATTTTCATATTCGTGATCTTCACTCATGTTCTCCCAATGGTGGTGGCACCACCTTCCTAGAAAAGATCTGGCCAGCCAGCCCCCCTCCTTGCCTAAGGGGCAGTGCCAAGGCAGGGTCAGCAGGGGGCGGTGCTGGCTCACAGTCAGAGCAGGCTCAGTGGGTCCCAACCCTCTGGCTTCTCCCTGAGAAACCTACTGGGTTTTCTTGTCACACAGAGTCCCCAGGCTATGGTAAAGAACCCGGAGCTAGGTCCCCCAGCCCTGCTAACTTTAAGAGGAACCTCAGATACTAGAGTTTAAGTAGGATCCAAGGCTGACCCAGGAGCCTCCTGGCTAGCACTTGCCTGCCGCTTTCTCTCCATCCTGACCACTCTATAAATTCTGAACTGCCACAAATCAGGACGGCCTGGTTGTGTCCAGGAGGGCACCTGGCTTAACTAAGGGATAGGGGAGAGATGGGAGTCAGCAGACAGGATCAACCACTGGTTCTCTTAGATTTGGATGTAACTCTTTCAAAAGAATTAGAAGTATATATATGGAGAACATAAAAAATATTTCCTAAAATTTTTCCCCCCTTTTTGGTGCTGGGCTTGCTAGAAAGTGCTCTACCACTGAGCTACATCCCCAGCCCCAACAATTCCCCTTCTCTTCCTCTTTCCTTTCCTCCTGTCTCCCTCCCTTCCCCCACCTCTTTAATTTTTTGATTTATTTTACTTTATTAAATAGTGTCTGGCTATGTTGCTCAGGCTGGTCTCCACAACTCCTGGGTTCAAGGGCTCTTCTGGTGCATCCCCATGCACCAACACACCCAGCTTTCATTCCTTTAAATTCCTTAACTCGGGCTGGGGATGTAGCTCAGTTGGTACGGTGCTTGCCTCGCATGCCCAAGGCCCTGGGTTCAACCCCTAGCACTACCAAAAAAAAAAAAAAAATTTCCTGGGACAGGGTTGTGGCTCAGTGGTAGAGCTGCTTGCCTAGCATGCATGAAGCACAGGGTTAGACCCCCTGCACCACATAAAAATAAACAAAAAAAATAAAGATATTGTGTCCATCTACAACTAAAAAAAAATATTCCTTAACTCAGCCCATCCCCATCCCAACTGTGCCAGCGACACCCTTTAAAGGGTCCCAGTGCCCTCCATCTTGGCAGATGTCAGTTCCATTGTCACCATTTGACTCAGTTGCCCCTGGGACACAGTTGCCCAGGTTGTTGTACTTGTAATGCCTTCTAAGTGCCAGAGGTTCCTAGGAAATCCTGAAGGGTGAGGGCACTGAAGCTGCTGAGCCCCCTTTAACCAGGGCAGCTTTGTTCTGTTTACATTTGTATGCCAAGACTCCACGTCAAAGTGATTTGAAAGGGAGGAGGGGCTCAACTTTTAAAAAGTAGCGAAGCAGGGGCTTGAGGGAAAATCCTCACTGGTCAGCAGCCTCTCATTCTACCCACAATAATAATTTACTGATTCCTCCTCCAGTTCAGAAGTAAATACCATTGCTTATTAACTGCAATTTTGGGGGAAAGGGTACTTGGGATTGAACCCAGGGCAGGAGCTTTCCCAGTGAGCTACATCCCCAACCCCAATCTCAGTTTTTTTTTCTTTCTTTTCTTTTTCTTTCTTTCTTATTTTTTTTTTTTTTTGTACCAGGGATTGAACCCAAGGGTGTTTAACCACTGAGCCACATCCTCAGCTCATTTTTGTATTTTATTTAGAAAGAAAGTCTCGCTGAATTGCTGAGGCTAACTTTGAACTCACAACCCTCCTACCTCAGCCTCCCAAGTCTCTGGGATTAGGGGTGTGCTCCATCACACCTGGCTCCACCCCACTTTTTTAAAGATAGGATCTCACTAAGTTGCTTAGGCCCTGGCTATACTGCTAAATCTAGCCTCAAACTCACAATCCTCCTGCCTCAGCCTGGGATTACAGATGTGCACCACTGTGCTCATCTTGACTGTGAATGTTACAAAGAAGGAAATTACTGTTATTTAGTGGCACACACCTATAAACCCAGTGACTTGGGAGGCTGAGACAGGAGGATTGCGAATCTAAGACCAGCCTTAGCAACTTAGCAAGATCCTGTCTCAAAATAAAAACTGAAAAGGACTTGGGATGTAGCTCAGTGGTAAAGCTTCCCTGGGTTTAATCTCCAGTACCCTCCCCCCACCCAAAAAAAAAAAAGAAGAAGTTACAAGTTACTTGGGTAATAAGCATAGACTACAAACCCTAGGAATGGAAAAAGGGATCAATGTATACATTTGTTCACATTTACATGTACATAGCCTCATTATAGATAAGAGAAATTCTGGAAGGTGTGAAAGCAAGTGGAAGGCCCTGCCACAAACAGTGGGTAGAGCATCAAATGTGCTTCATACATGCAAGGAGTAAGGTTACTCCACCAGCTGGGGCAGACAAATCTTGATTTGGTTTATTGGGATACCTCAGTGGTTGCAACCAGGCAGTCAACCCTTCCCTATCACCATTAGCCAGACAATAGCAATGAGAGTCTGCTTCCAGTTGGGAAAGTAAATATAGCATCTTAGGAGAATTATCTGTCAACGGTTGGGAGCCCTTTGCCAGATGAGCCAGAGGAAGTCACATGCTCAGCAGAGGCTTCTCAACTACAAAAATGAACACACACTCAAAAATCTCTAAGCACTGGAGGAAAGACAACTCCGTAGGAGGAAAGCATTTATATTTGTCAGAACATGCAGATTTAATAAGTTCATTACTTCAAGGTGCCTGAAACTAAAGCAAAGAAGTTTAATTGTATAACTTGAGGACTGAGAGTATGCTCAGAGAAATTATCACCTGTAAATTTAAGTAAAACCATTCATCAAGGTAAGGGGTCTAGGGGAGAGTTTTTTTGTGTGGAAAGGAGGACAGATGAGGACATGACTGCCACCCTGGGAAGAGGTCCAAGCTCCTAACCATCATTGCACACATCAGACTGCACCTGACCAAGGGGAGCAGGTCATCCCAGAATGAAGCTGCTTTAAGGCTGCCTCCACCCTGAATTTCTCTGTGGAAAACCCCTTGCCTGTCAACCAGTCACCACGGTCACTGTGTTCCATTTGAACTTAAATCATTTGAACTTAAATCCTCCCTCTTTTAATTGTATGGGCGAGGGAGGCTTTTAACCCAGCCTCTTTGCCTGTTTTCACAGACCCTAGAAAAACTCTGTTTCAAAAAAAAAAAAATTATTGAGAAGCCTGTTTAGAATCTTTGAAATGCAACCTCACATAAAAGTCACTGTCCCATAGCTTTAGAGGCACATGGAGATATAACTGCCTGAATTCTTCTGTTCCAAGGGAATTCCCTCTGCTTTACTGCCCTGACCCAAATTTGGGGAAACGGTGACATCAGAGCTCACCTAATCCTAGGAAGTCACCTCAGGAGGCCCTTTCCCAGCCTTGGTGCAGGGTGGCTGAGGAGAGGCCCAGGGTGGCTGAGGAGAGGCCCGGGGTGGCTGAAGAGAGGCCTAGGGTGGCTGAGGAGAGGCCCAGGGATGCTAACTACAATTCAAATGGCTGGACATGTCCTCACAAGGCTGTGCTTTCAGCCTGGATCCGGGGGCCAAAGAGCAGCTCAGCCACAGCTTTGCCATCATATTTGGGCTGCGTGCCTCCAAAGTCAGCTGGCAGAATGTTCTCATCAATCTCCTGGAAGAAGCCAGAGAGGTCATCTCCATGGACAAAGACCTGCAGGGAAGCAAGGAAGACAGCTAAGCCAAAGGTGCCCTGAGGATGAAGGATGAGGGCAGGAGAGGGACAGAGGGACAAAGCCGCATCGTGGTATCTTGCCTGGTGACATTCTTCTCCACTGTCCTCCATGCTGTGCAATCAGGGGGATCCACTCAGCTTGGGAACAGGGCACAGTCTAAGAAGGGCTCCGGTGGGGTCCTCATCCCACTGCCCTCTCACCCCTCTTGTATCGTGAGCTCTTTCCTGCTCCAGCCCCACACTCACTCACTAGCTCACCAGCACCTGCCTGGCAGGCCATGCACTCACCCTCTCAAGCAGCTTGCTCTTCAAGAAGGGCTTGACCACATTGTAGGTGGTGGTGAAGTACCACGGCTGGTGGATGAAGTGGATGGCCTTGAACCGTGCTGGGAAGGAATCCTGCAGTGACAGAGAGTGTTTTCAGACAACCCCCCAACCCCACAGTCCTAATGACTTCAGAAGCTCCCCATCACCCCCTATCCCAGGGACTGCCTCTCCTCATGGCATGAGGACCAACTAGTCCAACACCCCATGGAAGGCCAGCTAGCAGGGAGCCCCGGCTTCACTGTGGCTCCAAGTGGCAGGTAGGAAGCACCAGAAGTCACATGCCCAACCCTCTCCCCCAGATTTAAAAACAAACAAACAAAAAAAACTACAATTAATTGAACAATAAAATGGGGGCTGGGGTTGTGGCTCAGTGGCAGAGCACTTGCCTAGCATGTGCGAGGCACTGGGTTTGATTCTCAGCACTGCATGTAAATAAATAAATAAAATAAAGGTCCATCAACAACTAATAAAAATATTTTTAAAAATTAAAATTAAAAAATAAATGAAATGGTAGACTTGCTTGGTTTTTTTAGTGGCAGTGTTTTCAGACCCACTTGCTCATCAAGTGGACTGCAAACTATTATAGACCACAGAGACACTATGGTCATGACTCATTGTCTTTTCACCTTTCTGACAACCCTCCCTTTCAACTCTCCCAATACACACAGAATAGCTCTAAAATAGCTCTAAGAAAGGATGGCTGACGCATCAGTATATATAGGAGTAGCCATCAGGGAGTTGATGATATCCCTTCTTCAGGGTAAATTCACAAAGAGAGGTAGCATGATATAATGGACAGAAAGCCTGGGATTCCAGGTAGAAAATGTAGGTTTAAGCTGGGCATCACGGTGCACACCTGTAGTCTCAGCTACTGGGGAGGCTGAAGTAGGAGGCCCACTTAAGCCCAGGAGTTTGAGACCAACCTTTGCAGCATTACCAAGATCTTATCTCAAAAAAACAAACAGGCTGAGCATGATGGCATATGCCTGTAATCCCAGTGGCTCAGGAGGCTGAGGCAGGAGGATGTCGAGTTCAAAGCCAGACTCAGCAACTTAGTGAGACCCTAAGCAATTCAGTGAGACCCCGTCTCTAAATAAAATAAAAAAGGACTGGAGATGTGGCTCAGTGGTTGAGTGCCCTGAGTTCAATCCCCAGTACCAAATATATGTATATGTGTGTGTGTGTGTGTGTGTGTGTGTTTTCAAGTCCAGTCTCTACCACTTTATTACCATGTGACCTTGAGAGAAGTCACTTAAAATTTTGAGCCTCAGTTTCTAGGTTTGCAAAAAAAAAAAAAAAAAAGCAGAGGGAGAACACTCTGGAGGATCCAATGACATAATAACTGTACACCAGGCAAACTTTCCATCAATGTGCAAGTGTCTGTGGTTGGGACTGTGGTTGTCATTGTTCTTTATGGCACTAGAGGGTCAATATCTTAGGTTCCAGCCAGCACCATGAATCTAGGAAACCAGGCCTAGCCTCTCAGGACTCCACCTGTGGAGGTTCCTATATGGTAGGTCCCAAGGCCTCACCTGGAGCATGTCCACCATCTTCCTGAGATCTGAAGTCCGGAGCCTGGAGGCCTGCTGCATGGTAAAGCCCTGAAAGTTCTCAATGATACAGAAGCCATTAATTTGAGTTTCTTCATTCTCCAGTAGCTTCTCCAGGATGAAGCAATAGGCCTGCAAGATCTGGAGCACAGAGTAGACAGGGCATAAGATCCAACCCGCAAAGATGATTAAGGTTTAAGATCCTGAAAGAAGAGCTAATTGGTACATTCTTTTTTTAAAATTTTTTTTAGTTGTAGTTGGACACAATATCTTTATTTATTTTTTTTTATGTGGTGCTGAGGAGTGAACCCAGTGCCTCACAGATGTGAGGCAGGCATTTTACCACTGAGCTACAGCCCCAACCCAGTACATTCTTTACTGGAGGAATTTGCCACAGGTTTCCATGTAGGACCATTCCCCTCTGTGGGTACATAGCCCAAAAAATGAATGTTATATTCATGGATAGACACCAAAGTGGTTAACTCAACATAAATACTTACAATAGTGGAACCAGTGGACCTAACTGTCCATCAATAAGGGACTGGTGAAATTATGGTACATTTATACCACAGAGAAGTTTAAAATGATGCAGAGGACTAACGATACAGGAAAATGCTCATGGTCTATCATTGTACAACATGGACCTATTTTTATAAGAAAAATACTTGTGTATGACCAGGTTCAGTGACGCACACCTGTAATCCCAGCAACTCAAGAGGCTAAGGCAGAAGGATCAGAAGTTCAAGGTCAGTCTAGGCAACTTAACAAGAGCCTATCTCAAAATAAAAAATAAAAAGGGATGCAATATAGTTAAGTGGCACAGTGTTCCTGGGTTCAATCCCTTGTACCACAATAAAATTAAAAAGAGAGACCAATGGAACAAAATTGAAAATCCAGAAATAGACCCAAGTACATATGAAAATATAGATTATGGTAAGTGTGACACCTCAAGTCATTGGGAAAAGATGGGCTTTTAAATAAGTTGTGTTGGGATATCTAGATAACATTTTCTAAATTGAGTTTGTACTATTTTTTTCTAATTTAAATAACCTATTTAAGCATTGGTGGCACATGTCAAAATTCTCCCAAGATAGACCTTAATTCTTCCGCTCAGGGCAGCCCTCTTAAGGGCTCAGAGAAACAAAATCGCATAATATGAGTACAAAGAACTCAAGCTGCTAAATAGGATGGAACTTTCTAGAATCGTTTCCAGCCCACATAGTCCACTAATCCCTGTTCTCTTTCTCTCAGCTTTAAGCATTTGGCAGGGCTGCCCTCTGCTCGTGGCCCACAGCTGCTGCCCCGGTTTGGCACTTGGCAGCGACACTCAGGGACAGCCATGTACTATTGGCCAGTGATCCCTGCTTGCAAAGCTCCTGGGCTTTCCAGCTGCCCTGGCACATCCTAGGAATTTTCCCCTGACCAGAAGGGCCAGGTGACAGGTGGCTGCCTGTCTTTTCCCCACCATAGGCCTTGCTTCCTGAGGAATCAGGAATGAAGGTTCACTAGAGACAAGGATTAGGGAAGGAAGCCCAGCTCACCCACAGGGTGGGAAGGAGCCAGGTGAGCTCCCACTGACCTCATCAAAGGTGATTTCTTCACATTGCCAGTTCTCAATTTTGAAAAGCATGACCACTCGGCCATACTTATCCCGACTGGAAAGGACACCCGGGTAGCCAGCCTCAATGGTACAGCGAACAGCCTCCAGGGATAGGCTGTCGAAGAGTTCAGGGTACTGCAGCCGGAAGTTCACATAGCCTGGTGGAAAAAGAACCCAGTGCCCCCTTAGTGAGCCATCCCCACCCTAATACATCCCACCTCCCAGGGAGGCACACAGTGTGGGAGAAGAAGACCTGGGCTCCTTCCTGGCTCCTCCACATTCTGTGTGTAGCTAAACAGGATTCTCAATCTATTTGAGCTCCATTTTCCTCTCCAACAAATGGGAAGATAATATTGTCCTATCTCACCAAATGGTATGGCAATCAAACAAGACTCAGGGTGTAAACTATGTAGTCCTAAACACAGGGATATTTATTGCTGGTTATGTTCTTTCCCATGGGGACAAGGCACAGGTTTTTCAGTTGGGCTCAGGGTTAGCTGAGTGAGGGTGTAGACAGGGCTGTAGTAAAGCCCCAAAGATAAAATCCAAACCCCAAGGAAGATGCAGAGGCCATTCTTGATTCCAGCAACACCTCCGCTGACCACAAACTCCATCCTCACCTATCCTGAACAGGTCCCTTCCTCTGTGGCTATTTGCACCACCAAACATGAACTTTGGAGAGGCTGGACCTGGAGGAGGTGTTCGGAGAGCATTTGCCAAGTTTGGTGCCTGCCACCCCAACCTCCTCACTATTCCAGAACACTCCAGTCACATCCCACCACCTTGCCTTTGCCTTGTTGTTCCCTGCTTTTCACCCAAACATCTCATGTTCTTAGGGTCTCACTTTGCACTGGGGGCTTCCTGACCACTTTATCCACCTCCTTTATTTTTCTCCTTGTCCCTGTCACTAATAATCTATATGCTTTTACTTATCTGATTTTTCATTTCCACAGTTAGAATATAAATTCCATGAAGGCAGAGGATGCCTGTGGTTTGTTTTTTTTTTTTTTTTCGGTGGGGGGGTTTACTAGGATTGAACCCAGGGTGCTTAACCACTGAGCTACACCCCTCACCCCTTTTTACTATATTTTGAGACAGAGTCTCACTAAGTTGCCCAGGCTGGCCATCCTCCTGCCTCAGCCTCCCAAGTTGCTGGGATCACAGGTGTGCTCCCCCGTGCCCTACAAAGGAAAGGGATTCTTATCTGTTTTGCATTCCTTGGCCTAAAACAGTGGTTGGCACAGCATAGTACTGAATTAAAATTTGGGGAAGGAAGGAAGAAGTAAGAAAAAGGAAAATCAGCCTGCAGAGAGAGGGCCTGCCCAGACCCTTCCTTATCCAGGAATCAAAAACTTGACTTTTTTTTTTTTAGGAAAACCCTTCCTCCTTCCAGCAGGGGCAGGGTAATACTACCCTGGGGTTAGCGCCCTCCTCACTTCCATTGTAACTGCCAAGAGGGAAGCTCATACCTATGACTCTCTGGAGCATTCCAAAGTCAAATCATGGTGGCGGTGGAGGTGGTGGGGGAATCCTGGGGGAGACTCCTCACTCTGTCATCTTTTTTTTTTTTCTTTCTTTTTTAGCAAAGCTGAGGATGTGGAACCCAGGGCCTAGAGCATGTTAGGCAAGCACTCTGCCACTGAGCCACACTCCTAGCTCCTCATTCAAATTTGGAATTCCATTGGGTCCCAAAGGCTGGGAAAGAAGATATTCCTCTAAGAAACTGGTCCTGATATAGACATTCGTTCATTCATTCATTCACTGACAGAGCTGAAAGGGGTCTTGGAAGCTGTTTAGTTCACACACAGATTCCCATTTTACTGAGAAGGACTTGGAGGCTGAGAGAGTGACTTTCCCACTGCACAAACCCACAGCATGAAAGGACATTCAAGGTGCCTGGGTGAAGATGGACACCCTCCTCATGCCCTCCTCCCACCTCCCCACGGCTGCCCCACCTCCCCACCAGGGTCCCTCTACCACGCACATCTCACCTTTGAGCAGCTCGTAGGCGCGGCCCACGTTGAACTTCCGTGCACGGATGAAGCGGAGAAGAAAGGCGCTGTCCCTGTCTCGCACCCTCTCCGCCACCGCCACGGCCAGTTCCTCCCCAGAGGCGGCCTGTGCCTCCACCAGCTCCTGCAGTTCTCTCACCACGTCCTCCCGAGTCTCCTCCCTCTCGTTCAGCTCATCCTTGGCCTACAACAGGGGAGAAGGGCATATGTAATGAGGCTTGCCTCACCCTGTGGGAGACTTGCCTCTGGGGTCCACAAGGGTAGCATCTGCACTGGCCTCCTCTCAATTTAGGGTGTTTGGAGAAACCGTTCATCCTGGCTCTGTTCGCAGGATATGGCCAACAGTCTAAGCGTTCCTACAGTTCTACAGTAACTATCTACACTTACTACTCCTTTTTTGAGCACTCTGTAAAGTTCTTTAAATGAATTATGCCTTTTAATCATTGTCATAACTCATCATGTTTAGATTTTGTTCATTTGTTTTTTTCTCCGGGGATTATTGAACCCAAGGGTGCTTTATCATCCTCAACCCCAGCCCTTTTAATTTTCCTTTACTTTTTTAGACATTGATGGACCTTTATTTTATTCATATATTTATATATGGTGCTGAGAATCAAACCCAGTGCCTCACACATGCTAGGTAAGTGCTCTACCACTGAGCTACAACCCCAGCCCCATCCTTTCAATTTTTGAGGAAAGTTCTTACTAAATTGCTGAGCCCACTCTTTCTTTTTTGATGGGTGGTGGTGGTACTGGAGATTGGACTCTGGGGTACTTGACCACTGAGCCATGTCCCTAGCTCTATTTTGAATTTTATTTAGAGACAGTGTCTCACTGAGTTGCTTAGTGCCTTGCTTTTGGTGAGGCTGACTTTGAACTTGCGATCCACCTGTCTCAGCCTCCCCAGTTGCTGGGATCACAGGTGTGTGCACTATACCTGGTTGGGTTGTTTTCTTAAAATCCCATCTCTCAAATGAGTAGACTGAGGGCTGCTGGAGTGAAGGTCATTCACACAGGAGTGGAGATGAGACTCCCTACTCCTGTTGGGTCACACACTTAGCCTCCCAGACTTAATTCTGATCTTTTTAAAAACAAAGATCCCCAGCAGAGGCCTCCCTGTCTCCTCACCTCCCCGCCCACCCCCCACCGCCCCACAGTTGCACATTTCTTTCCCTTTGCTGGGAAAGATAGGAAACCTTCCCACTTCTCAGGCAGCTCTCTCCCTGATCAGCATGAGGGGAAACTGAGTCAAATTGAGGGACCTAAGAATACTTTTCCTTTGAGATGTTCAGAGATGCAGGGATGGGTATCAGGAGCCCAGGCACAGCTCAGCCACTTCTCACCCTCTCCAGTAACCCCAAAGCAATTCTGCCAACTTCCACAGAGTCTCATGATCTCTGAGCCAATCCAACAACCATCTTTCATAGTTACAGAAGGCGAGACTTAGAGAGGGAAAGTTATTTGCTCAAGATCACTCAGCAGGTCAGATTCCAGATCTCAGTCCTCTTGCTTGTCCAGTGGGGCAACAGTTGGATGCTTATTCACAAGGGCCACATTCAAACCAGCGCTGCTCGTATCTGACTCCAGAGGCTCAAGTCTAGTCTTGGATTCAACTAGTTTGGATGCAGATCTGCCCGCTGCTGTAGCCCTGAACTCTAGAATGATTGCTAGAACAATTCAATCTATCAGGTCCAGGATGACCTGGAGAGTGAAGCTAGACCATTTCTATAGGATTGAGGATGCTATCCTGTCCTTAACCCTTATATGCACATGCCAACCCCATTTTGTCCCCATAGGCTAGCCCGTAAACCTGCCACCTCACCTTCTGTAAGGTGTGGCGGGGCAGTTGGCTGCACGGGCCAAATACGGGCCCATGGTCCTGGGTTGTGAGCTGCTCCAACTGGGCCCGGAGCTCCTGTTCTTCTTCAGGGACCATGCGGAATGTGCCCACCTGCATAGAGAAGAGTTAGAGACAGCAGCCTGAGTGAGCCAGGCAAACAGGACTTCTGAGACCCTAAACTAGTACTTTTGAACCCAAGATTGTTGGTAAGCACCTTCCCTTTTTGGGGAGCAGGGCCCACAGAGAAGTTGTAGGGTGTAGATGATAGAGAAGCAGGAAAGGATGGAAAGAGGGCAAAAGGGAAGGAGAACCAGGGTACTTACCACCTCTGTCATATTGCCTCTGAAAGACGCTGAGTCCTTGGCCAAAAAAAAAAAAAAAAAAAAGTTTCCTGCTTCCTCTGTCCTGACTGCTTCACACACTGGACCTAGGAAAGGAAGTCAGCACTGCAGTGGCAGTAGAGAGTCTGTTCTACAATTGTCTCAGAATAGTGGATCTCAAACATTCAAGTGCATTAGAATTGCCTGGGGCATTTGTTAGAAAGGCAGCTGCATGGGCCCCACCCCCATGATTCTGATTGGAGGTCTGGGCAGGGCCCAGGGCTTTCCAGGTTAGGACTCCTGAAGGTGGCTCTGAAGGAGAAGGTTCTTGGACCACATGCTGGGAAGCACTGCTCTGGGAAGGGGCATACCTACAAATGCCTCAAACCTCAGCTATTAAGTTGGCCCAGCTAGGAAAAAAAGTGGAGTTGGGCTCCTATCTCTTTCAGATCACAGCAGGTTAAGACAATCCCTACTGCCTCTGAGGCTCTTCCTCCCTAGCCCAAAGGGTACCCCAGAAATTTCCCAGCCTCGTGGTTGACCCTGTCCTCAGCATACTCATTCTCAGGAGTGCTGGTGAAGTTTCATGGTCATTATTCTGGGTATGTGTTCAGTACTTTGTGGTGCATTAAATAATTTCAGATTCATTGTCTCAGATTCAGGCCCTGGCATTATTATTTCTATTTTATATAGGAGGAAATAGGACCAAGACATTAAGTGATTTGTCCGAGGTAATACAACCCAAAATAGCCAGGATCAGGACTCAAATCTAAGTTGTGACTTCTATTGGCATGGAGAGGCAGCTGGGGCAGCAGAGAAATTGGACCTGGGTTTCTGTTCCGTCTCTCCCACATGAGAATTATGGAATCTCACCTCAGTCTTGGGTGTTTCCTGTTGGGATGGAAAGATTGGAAGTATAATTAAATAATGTATACACAAGCAGTGCCCACATGCCACCCTGCTTCCCCACTAGGGACTTCTTTTATGTGTGTGTGTGAATGTTGTGCTGGGGATTGAACCCAGGGCCTTGTGCATGCAAGATAAGCATTCTACCAACTGAACTATATCTCCAGCCCCCACTAGGGACTTTTAATGGCAGCTCTTCTGTTCCCAGATTTTCTCTTCTGCTTAAATGTTCCTTTACCGTCTGCTGCTGCCTCTGACCTCATTCCATCAGTCAGTTCAGTCACCTACTCACAGTTGCTAAATGGTAGAGTTGGGACTTGAACCCATGCCTGCCCCATACCAAGTCTGTCTTATGTCAAGAGAACCAAGACATCTCCAGACAAACTCCCTAGAAAAATTGGTGTCTTAGGCCTGGATTTGAAACAGGCTTTGTCCTTTGCCACTATGCACCCTCAGGCAAGCCATCTAACTAAGCCTCAGTTTTTTTTTTTGTTTGCAAATTGAGAATAATAACAGTACCCACCAAACAGGATCCTCATGAAAACACTATAATTTCTCTAATGTGCCCAGCAAGGCGTCTCGCTCTAGAACATTGTTCCTCTTCCCTTTCTTAGCATCATACCAAGCATTATCCTAAGTTGCACAGAGAGACTTGGAGGATTATCAGGAATATTTGAGGGTCTCCCACCTCCTGCCCCTCCCACTCTGCAGTCCCAGCAAGGGCAGGGAGTTGTGGGGACTGGAATCTACCACAGGAACCAAATGTAAATCATCTCTTTGGCTGATAGACATCTACATGTGTAGGCACAGAGACAGAAAGACTGAAATGCTGCCATGTTCCCCTGAGGTCTTCTGGAACAGGAATGGAGAGGCCAGTACAACTGCCCTGAGGAATTCAGGTAGGAGAGATTAGTGACTAGACATCCTCAGTTTGTTAAGGGGATCATAAGGACAAGATACTAGATCTTAGGGCTGCTTTTGTGGCTCAGTGGTAGAGCGCTTGCCTAACATGTGTGAGGCACCAGGTTTGATCCCCAGCACCACATAAAAATAAATAAAATAAAGGTATTGTGTTCATCTACAACTTAAAAAAAAAAGATACTAATTCTTAGAAATATAAAGTCAATGCAGCAACTAGCAACTCTTCCTAAACATGCCCAGGCAATAAACTTTGCTTTTATTTTTTAAGTTTATTTTCTTTTTCTTTCTTCCTTTTTAATTTTTTTCCCCCTTTGGTACTAGGGATAGAACCCAGGGACACTTTACCTCTGAGCTACATCCCTGAGTCTTTTTATTCTTTGAGACAAGGTCACACTAAATTGGCTGTGGCTGGTCTTGAACTTGTGATCCTCCTGCCTCAGCTTGGGATAGCAACATCTGCTGAGCTACATCCCCAGCCCTCAACATTGATTTTTTTAAAATACTTATTTATTAACTATATACAGTGAAAAATGCCCGTCTCTCACTTCATATTGATATGGTTCCCTGCCACCTAGTATCACCATATAAAATACAAAATTTTCAATATTTGGTACATACTTGGACCAAAAAAAGTATTTGTTGTACATTTGAATTCATAGTGAACTAAGCATTCTGTATTTGTATTTACTAAGTCTGCCATCAGACTGGTATGGCTTAACCGGAGAAGAGCCATCTGGTTTCAGTTTACAGGCAGGGCAGTATGTGGTCCCCCGTTCCCATCCCTGATTCCCCTGTCTAGGGCTCCCTGGCGCAGACAGTCCCCTAGTACTGACTTACCTGCCAGGTCAGCAGCTCCTCCTTGGGGCCACCTGGTACCTGAATGCCCTGGAGGTCTGAAGGTTGCCTCGGCCGGGGGTGTGGCCCAGTCAGCAGGTCAGGATTAGTGTGTCACAAGAAACTTCTCATCGCCCACAGTTTCCCATTAAATCGGGCTCACGGGAGGCCCAGAGTGGGGCAAGTGAAGCACGGGGGAAGAGAGGGGAGAGGCCTCAGGCTGCAGATGTATCAAAGCCCTCCTTTGTGTGCTTCTGCTTCGGAGTCCCTGCTTAGCCATGCGGAAGCCAGCGTGGGCTGGGATCTAGGCCAGCCCCATCCCCTCTTCCCTGCCCTTTCTCCTTGAGCTCCCAGGGGAGTTTGAGAGAGCACCCGCCTGGACAGGACATGGAAAGAGGTGAAGGGAAATTATAAACGTGATCCCAGATGCAATGACAGCTTAGCAAATCCAGACCTGTGGCCCACCTTCTCTGAAGGCCACAGAAAAGGGGACCAGTGGGAGATGTAGAGGGTGAAAGCTGAGCAGAGAGGGAGGACAAAGCAGGCCCACCTGCCTTCTAGGCAGTATGGTGCAGTGGTAGGTGTAGGTTCTGGAACAAGATTGCCCATTCCTTTTTTTTTTTTTTTTTTTAATTTCTGTGTGTGTTGCTGGGGATGGAACCCTCGGCTTCTTGCACACTAGGCAAGTGCTCCACTACTGAGCTATAGCTCTAGCCCCTGCCCAATTTTCAATCCTAGCTTCAGCACCTTGTCTCTGTGAGAAGTTACTACACCATTCCTTGACTCAGTTTCCCATCTGAGAGGTGGAAATAACCAGAAGACCAGGATCACAGCTTTAGGGAGCAAAGTACTTAGATGCCTGACACTTGGTAAGTGCTCTTTAAATGCTGTAAATGTTCATAGTTACTCCAAATACAGAATCAGCAGGCACCCCAGGGGAGGAGTACAACCATGTGTACAGCAAGAAACTCTTCTGCAGCCCCTCAGCCTCTGCTTTGGTATTCCACTAGGGTGTGGGAGAGATTATTCCTTTAGAACATTTCTGTCAAGAACTCTAAAGGTGGGGAGCTCCATTTTTCCATTACTGGACAGTTCCCTTTGTTTAAAACTCATCGTTGGTCTGAGTTCAAGCAGTTTCCTGCAATCCTCCTTGGCCCTGGTTTTGCAATCTAGAGGTGCCCAGGGCAACATCAAGATTCTGTGTACAGTTATTCTGTGGAATCCAGTCTCAGAAATATTTTTCTTTATTTTCCCAGAGATTTTTTTGTTTGTTTGGGGGTTTTTCTTTGTGTATTTGTTTGCAGTACACGGATTGAACCCAGAGATGCTCTACCACTGTGCCACATCCCCAGTCCTTTTTATATTTTTTATTTTGAGACAGGGGCTTGCTAAGTTGCCCAGGCTGGGCTCAAACTTGTGATCCTCCTGCCTCAGTCTCCCAAGTAGCTGAAATTACAGGTGCCACTCTGTCTGGCTTGTTATTGTTGTTGTTTTATTTTGCCTGGCTTGTTTGGTTTTTTAATTTTGTTTTGTCTTTTTGTTTTGTTTTGTTTTTTTCAGCATTGGAGATTAAACCCAGGGATTCATATAAGCCAGGAAAGCTTTGCTCTAACATTGAACTACATCCCCAGCCCCAATTCCCCCCAACAGAGTTCTTGCCTTTCCACTCATTCCTACTTTGGCAAGTTTGGGATCTCTTCACCTTTCTGTGGCCTCTCCAGACACCTGGGTGGGGGAGCTGTGGGAGTATCCCTAAAGGAACACCTGAGGAACATCTGTTCCTCACCTGTCTCTCTGGACCCCTCCCTCTAGAGCAGGCTGCATTGCCTGGTGCTTAGATCTTGGGCTGTGTCTGAGACGCCTTCAGCTCTTTGTTTTTTACAGCCCATTCCCTGGGTTCCTGTTCCAGCTGCTGTCTGGCTCTAGGGCTGTTTTCTCTCCAAATCCTCTACACAAATGGTGATACCACTCCCCTATTTCTATCATTCTGCTCCCTGGGGGCCTAGTCCTCTGCTTTGTCCCATAAGGCAGCCACTAGCCACCTGTAGTTTTTCAGCAGTTGAAAATGGAGTAATATGCTGGGTGTGGTGGCACATGCCTGTAATCCCAGTAACTGGGAAAGCTGAGGCAGGAAGATTGCAAGTTCAAGTCCCTCAACAACTTATCAAGTCCCAGTCTCAAAATAAAAAGGGTTGAGGATATAGCTCAGTGATAAAGTTCTCCTGAGTTCAATTCGAGTAAACAAAGGAAAGAAAGAAAGAAAGAGTAATGCAACTCAAGAACTGAAATTTTAAATTTTATTTAAGAAACTTAATTTGAATTAAGGCTCTGACAATGCCAGCCAGGTGATGGACTCCATTGTGGAGAATATTTCTGTGTGTCAGGAACACTGTCAAGTTAAAGGACAGCCCTGATGGTACTGGACTGCACCAGGCATCTCCGAATGTTAGCAGTCCTTTTTGGGGCAAAGAGTTTTCTGCAGCACTACTTTTTGCTCACAACCCTTTTCCTGCTTATACCCCTGCCCTCTCCCCATCCTGAGTCACATTCCCTTCTAGCTTCTCTGGTCAGAACAATAGTGCCACTGTGAAAAAGGAGACGCTGCCCTCATTGGCCCAGACACCTGTGCTGGCCATGCTGGCAAACAACTGTGGGCTCCCTGGCCTGCCTGGCTCTGCCTTACTAAAGGCAGCAAGGGAGGAGGCTCACATTTGCTGTGCCCTATTCTGTACTGTGGCAGGCACCATACCAGCATTATCTCATCAGATCCTTCCAAATGTGGGTTAGAAAGCATAGGATTTAAAAAATGGAACTGGAGTTTGAACCTAGGGGTATTTACCACTGAGATGGTATTTACCACTGAGCTACGTCGCCAGCACTTTTTATACTGAGACAAGGTTTTGCTAAATTTCCTAGTCTGACTTTGAACTTGTGATTCTCCTGCCTTGGCCTCCCAAGTAACTGGGATTATAGGCGTGCACCACCATACCTGGCTCTAATCCCTTTTTTATAGAATAAGCAATTGAGAGGGGATGGGATGGGGAGGAAAAGGACCTGTCCAAAGTCACACATTCTAAAGCCTTCTCATCGTTCAACACACAAGGTTGGCCCTGGTGTGGCTGCTCAGGGAAGTCACAACTGCCCTATTCCCACCCCAACCCTCTCCTGGAGAAGGTGACATCATTTTGCTGTCAGCCTCCTAAGTCATTGAGACTGCAGGCATGCACCACCACACCAGGCATTTTGATTTCAATTTAATAAATATTGATTGAGCACCAACTATGTACCAGCCTCTGGCCAAGTGCTGGGGAGATGCTGCCCTTACTGCACATAATCTAGCAGAGAAGATACACATTAGGGGAGTGTGGCTTAGAAGGAAAGGGGTGCCCATGAAAGACCCCCGTCCAATGAAAGACCCCCGTATCCCTGTCCAAGGAGAATCACACGAAACACTGGCTGCAAAAGCAAGAGGTTGGTTTATTGGGACACAGGCGCCTGCGGGTGCCCAGCAGAACCTCAGCCGGAGCTTTGGTGAACTGGCACACCGGGCTTGGGGATACAGAGATTTTTATAGGGTTTAGGACAGGTTTCGCGTGGGCGGGAAGCAACAGGTTTCTTATTGGTTTGTTTAAATCTAGCATATAGGCCACCTAGGGGGTACAGGTCTGCATTCCAAAAACCACAGGTCTGCATTCTATTCTTTCTGTTCCTGCTTATCTGTTCCTGTTTATTCATTCATGCCCCAGGATGTGGGTGCTCTGTTCTTCAACCGGTTGTCTGGAAAGCATGCCTGGTGCCTGGTATCTTGGTTTCATATCTTGGCCTTAGGTAACTGGGCTAACTGGGCTAGAGTCTTTCACCCAGTGTTGTAGAGAGGTCAAGATGGGATCAAATCCAATGGATTTTAGACAAGAAGGTTTGCCATGATCTTGGCTTTAGCAGTTTTGGTGAATTGATAGAGCTAAGAAGCAGAGAAGGACAGAAGAGTGAATAGGAGACAGGAAAATACAGACCGTATGGATGGAAACTTCAAGAAATTTGGCCAAAAGCAGATGGGGGAGCGGGGGTGGGGGGGTAACTGAAGGGCAATGCAGATCAGAGGGTTTGTTTTGTTTAGAAGGATTCCTGAGACTTTTTCCATTTCTGTTTGTATATTTTTGCAGTATTGGTGATTGAACCCAGGGACATTCTTCCACTGAGCCACATTTCCAGTCCTTTTGATTTATTTATTTTTAAAAATAAATTTATTTCACATTTGTAGGACAATTATTTTTTGTTTTTTAGTTTTTTATATCTTTATTTTATTTTTATGTGGTGCTGAGGATCAAACACAGTGCCTCTTGCATGCCAGGCAAGCACATTACCATCTGAGCCACATCCCCATCCCCTCCTTTTTATTTTTTATTTTGAAACAGGATCTTACTATATTTGCCAGGATGGCCTCACACTTGTTTACTTGTTTTTCATGTCTCAGCCTCCCTAGTAGCTGGGATTACAGACATGCTCCCATCTGTTCTTTTTTTTTTAATATTTATTTTTTAGTTGTAGGTGGACACAATATCTTTATTTGAGTTTTATGTGGTGCTGAGGATAGAACCCAGGGCCTCACGTGTGCTAGTTAGGCAAGCACTCTACCACTGAGCTACAACCCCAGCTCCCATCTCTGCTTTTATTGCAAGGAGATGATCTTAACTTCTACTACACAGGGAAAAAAAAAAAAAGGCTATTTTTTTTCTTTTCTTTTCTGGTCAAGTGGAAGTGAAGTTATCTGTTGAGAATAAAGGAAGAGATAGAAAAGTTTGAAATAATCCTCTTGTAGAAAAGAAGGATAAACTTTATTTATTTATTTATTTTTGGTTCTGGGGATTAAACCCAGGACTTAAAAAAAAATATTTTTAGTTGTAGATGGACACAATACCTTTGTTTTATTTATACTTATGTAGTGCTGAGGATCCAACCTGGTGCCCCACACATGCCAGGCAAGTGCTCTACCACTGAGTCACAACCCTAGCCCAGAAAGAATAAACTTACCAGGGAAGATTGTCTGACAGTGTTGAAGACTCCTTTGAGATTGGTTGCAATGACTTTACAGGGTACTCATGTGATTTTTTCCAGTATATTCCAGCAGCCAGGTATAGTATCAATGAAGCAATATGGCAGGTCTCATGGGGTTAGGGGTTGGCATGGATGACACAGCAGGAAAGGCAAAAGCAGGCAAGTT